GGGGATTGGGGAGGGATAGCATTAGGAGAAATATTTAATGTAGATGATGGGGTGATGGATGCAGCAAACCACCATGGCACATGTATATCTATGTAACAAACCTGCACTTCCACACATGTAGCCCAGAACTTAAAGTATAATAATAATAAATTTCACAAAGTTCCAAAAAGAAAAACTTGAATTTGCTGTGCACTGAGTACTATGTTGAATCCACACAAATGAAGTGATGTGTTGGTGTCATATGAGGCATTATAAGTAATCTTGAGATGATTTAAAATATATGGGAGGATGTATGTAGATTATATGCAAATATTACACCATTTTGTATAAGGGACAAAATCTGCATCTACAGATTTTGGTATCCTTAGGGGGTCCTGGAACCAGTCCCCCATGGATACCAAGGAATTACTGTATATATTTCCATGTCAGTAAATGTAAACCATAGATATTCCTTTTCATGGCAACATATTGAATGAATGTATATAACATAACAGCCATTGACCATAACACAGCTCCTGTTGTATGGATGCACCATATATCATCATACATCACTTATCATTCTCCTATTATTGGGTATTTAGGTTCTTCCAATATTTTGCTATTATAAATCAATGAATTTTCTTGTACATAAATCTTTCCATGTAAGTGCAAATTTTCTTATAGGATTCTTAGAAGTAGGACCATTATGCTGAAGGATATGAACATAATTATCAAGCATCACTTCTATGCTTCCTTTCGGGTGGGCAAAAATATTTTCCTCTTTTTCTTTCAGAATAAATGCTACTAAATGAGTTGGACATTTGTTTTTCAGTATTTCTCCCAATGTTTTTGCCCTCATTGGCTTCCTTTCTCTTTTTGATGGTGGAACATTGAGCTTTTAAATTTTGTTTTGACACGATCATCATAATTAAAAAGCAGAAAAGTTTGATTTTGACAACAGTCATCACTTTAAGACATCAACTCTGGATTTTTCTCTGCTGGCTTCCAGTCTTCATAATCAAAATCTTAAAAATCTCTACTTCTAATCTATGATTATGAAAGCAGTATATATGTGCTATTTAAAAATCTCAGAAATGTGTAACAAGAAAACAAAAGTCACTTTTAGCTCTACTCCACCCCCAGAGAAAAATACTGTTAACAGTAAGTAACTATTTTCATAGTCACAATCAAATTACAGGCACAATTTATTTTTACTTAACAATAAATCTTAACTTTTTTTTTTTTTTGAGATATGGTATGGCTCTGTTGCCCGGGGTGGAGTACAGTGGTGTGATCCTGGGTCACTACAACCTCTGTCTCCTGGGCTCAAGCCATCCATTTCAGCCACCCAAGTAGCTGGGACTACAGATGCATACCACCACACCCAGCTGATTTTAGTATTTTTAGTAGAGATGGGGTTTCAATATGTTGCCCAGGCTAGTCCTGACTTCAAGTGATCCACCCACCTTGGCCTTTCAAAGTGCTGGATTACAGGTGTGAATCACTATGCCCAACTCTTGAAATTCATTTTTCATATATATTTTTTATTTCTTATTACAAAAATTTTATATTTTTGAAAAATGTAAAAAGTATCAAAAGGAAAATAAAATCAACCATATCTTCACCTAAAAATGCCCACTGTTAACATTTTGGTGAGTTTTCATCTATAAAAGTAAATATTTGTCTGGATTTCTGGTTATTTTCCTAGGACAGGTTCCTATAAGAGGAATTAGTGGAACAAATGTTTTAAGACTCTTGAGATAGTTTGCCAAACTTTCTGAATATAAGATTGCTCATCTAATAATTTTCATTGCATGTGGTTATATAATATTCCATTTGGTGGTGTGGTTTACTTAATCATTCTCTGATTGTTGGACATCTAGACAATTATACCTTCATCAGGTTGCCAAGATAATTACATGAGAGAGCTATTAGGAAACCAGAACTTGGGTCTGATGCAGAGGAAATCTTCATTACTATTCCTTTGCCAACCCTGTGGATCAACCACTCCAGGTAATGGGCTTCCTGTCCTCCAGAGAACTCAGCCCTAAATGCCTTCCTTCCCCATCTGGGGCCACTCCAGCACATTCCCCAAAGCTTATGCCTTCCAAAGATATCAGCCTCTTCTAAACCCTGATGAGGTGAGGCTCTTGTTTTCCAGAACAACAGTGGGGTAACTCACCCTGAGGTGGAAGACACATCACACTGGGTGTTGGCAGATCCAAAGGTGAGAGGAATCCAGAGATGCTCTTTCCTTCTAAAGATGCCATCTTTAGGGAAGTCTGGCTGTGGAAGAGGAACGCAGTCAAAGTCTGGATCAGCCGGATGAGAACTCCCTCCCAGAGATGAATGTGTACGTGGACCTTCTTTACCCTTCAAGGTTAAGCTCAAAAACTCCCTCTTCCAACGATGTTTTCTGAACTCCCTTTCTGAATTCCTCACAGCTCTCCTACTCATCTTAGCATTTAATCAGTCGCTTATCACATAGCATAATGTATTCATGAAATATCCCATGGAATGTGTTCTCTCTCTGGCACTGTACTAGGCAGGGGAAAAAGACAGTGAACTATAGGCATTGGTCCTACCCTCTATGGGGCTTACAGCATAGCAGGAAAGAGGAACATGGAGCAGGCACTGTGCTTGCCAGTGTGACGAGCTACTGTACCTTATCCCCAAAGCTGGATTGGTTTTTGGCTCCTGGAGGACAGGAAGTGTGCCTTGCTTTTTTTTGGACACTGTGGAATCTAATATGACCTGTGTTCACAGCAATTGTTCAATACATCTCCTCAGAACAATTAACAATGGAAAATATATTATCAAAATGCTTGATTGCTTATACATTTAGAGGCATCAGAATGCAAAGAGCAGAGACTCTGAGATATCATAGGACCTGGGTTCAAACCCTGATTTTGCCTGTTACTAGCTGGATGCCCAATGGGTGATGTACTCTAAGTCTCACATGCCTCATCTATACAATGGAGGCAGTAATACCTTCTCCAGAGAGTTACTGTGAGGATTAAGTGAGGCAATCTATGTAAATATGTTACAGGACCCAACACAAAGTAAACCTGTAAATGTTAGTTCCCCAGACTATTTAACCTTGGTTGAGAGGTCAGGGAAATTGTTTTCTTCTATCCATTTGAGACACCGAGCGCAGAAGGAAGAGGGAAGTTTTAGGTCTAGAAGGGGTCTTGGCTTAATCCTTTTTTTTTGAGACAGGGTCTCACTATGTCACCCAGGCCTGAGTGCGGCGGCTCGACCTCGGCTCACGGAAGCCTCCACCTCCCAGGTCCAAGAGATTCTCGTGCCCCCACCACCCGAGTAGCTGGAATTACAGGTGTGTGCCACCACGCCCAGCTAATTTTTGTGTTTTTAGTAGAGACAGGCTTTCGCCATGTTGACCACGCTAGTCTCAAAGTCCTAGCCTCAAGTGATCCACCCACCTTGGCCTCCCAAAGTGCTGGGATTATAGGTGTGAGCCACCATGCCCGGTCAGCCTAATTCTTTTATTTTCTTGGTGAGACAGACAGAGGCCCAGAAGACTCAGGTGACTTCCCTCAGGTTACCCGGTGATTTGAGCAGTAATCATAGAAACAAAACTCAGGTCCCCTGAGTCCAGCATTCAGTGGATTTTGGGCAGCATTTCCTAGATTCTCACTGCTAGCCTCTCACTGTCAAAAAAGGGAGTGCCTTCATGTTACAGTACATCCGACGTAACTATCCAGGGAGGGTAAGCATTCCTGTGAAATCAGGCAGAAACTTCCCAGGAACTTTACGGCTCCCTGGAGACAAGATAGGGAGGTAGTCACTTGGTCATTTTCCATTCCAGGCAAGGCCAGGATGGATGGACTTCCATATGATTGGGGTGGCTGGGGAGTGTGTTCCTCGGGGTTAGAGCAGGCCTCCTCCTGGCTTCACAGAGCCAGACCCCGGTGGGACACAAGAGGGTGAGCGGGGAGCTGGGGAGATGAGAAGGAGGGATGATCAGATAAGGGATAAATCTGGACTAGAAACAAGTTACTTACTGTTACTCAAGCCCCACAAACCACAAACTCCTCAGACTATGGAGCTCTGCCTTCAGAGTTTCAGCTTCTCTTACTAACATGTGATACTCATAAGAATGTTACTAGGCCCCAGGCACAATTAAGGGCTCTCCTTACATTAACTTCACCTGAATGCTTGCAGCTTGCTTTTGAGTGGTAGGATGAGTGTGTAGTTAAAGGCATGATCTCTGGTTAAACTCTCTGGGTTAAAATCTAATCTTCTCCCAAAGTGGGAAGATCTGCTTGAGCCCAGCAGTTCAAGACTAGTCTGGGCAACATAGTGAGACTCTGCCTCTACAAAAAAAAATTTAAAATTAGCTAGGTGTGGTCGCGCATGACTGTAGTCCCAGCTACTGGGGAGATGGATGCAGGAGGATTCTTGAGCCCAGAAGTTCAAGGTTACAGTGAGCTATAATCACATTACTGCCCTCCAGCCTAGGTGACAGAGCGAGACTCTGTCTCTAAAGAAAGAGAAACATAGTCTTCACTTACATTCCAGGTAACTTTGAGCAATTTGTTTAAGCCTCTTCATGCTTTCATATCCCTTATCTGTAACATGGGGATCGTGGTTGTTCTAAGGATTCAGTGAGTTAATGCATTTCAAGTACTTATCATAGCACTGGGCACACAGCAAGCTCTGTATGCGTTGTCAAGTTTTGTTGTCATCGTCTTAGAGGGCTTTCTTTAATCATCTAAGGAATTCCCCTTAGTCACTATCATTTCATAATTTTACCATTTTCAAAGCATTATGATCTGTGATCTTCTTCCTCTCCTCTCCTCTTCCATCTTGTTTATTGTCTGTTTCCTTTAACTAACATTTAAGTTTCCTAGAAGCTGTGCCTGTGCCTGGCACATAACAGATGTTCAACACAGGGAGGGTAAGAATTCCTTTGAAATCAGAGGAGAACTGTATGACCCAGCAATTCCACTCATAGATACATACTCAAGAAAAATGAGTGCACTATGGCCACCAAAAGATGGGTATAAGAACACTCACAGCATTTTTATTCATAATCATTCAAAATTCAAAACAACCCAAGTGTCCATCAACAGAGGAAGAAACAAACTTTGGTACATCTTTACAATGGAATACTACTCAGTAATGAAAAGGAGCAGACTGCTGATACACACAACAGCGTGGATGAATTACAAAAGCATTATGGTGAATGAAGGAGGCCAGTCTCAAAAGAGTACATTCAGTATGACCAAAACTGGATTTTGTAGAAATCACATCAATGGTTGCTTCTAGGAGTTAAGGGTGACGAAGTGGATGGGGTGCAAGGGAAGTTTCTGGAGTGATGGAAATGTTGAAATGTTCTATGTCTTGACCTGGGTGGTGGTAAAACATGTACACGGTCACTTATTATACCTCAATGTAAAATATTTTACAGCTCAGCTTTTTAGGAAACAGCCAGATGAAGAAGGAAAAGCAAAGGTCTTAAAGAGCTGAGTACAAAGGGGATGTTTCAGAGTGGCTCTTGCATAAGGTCCCTATCTGCCTGGGACTGATGGGGTTTCCTGGGGCAAAAGACTTTCAGTGCTAAAACTGGGCAGAGTCCTGGGCAAACCGGGACAGCTGGTCACCCAACTGCTGTGGAAGAGGGGAACTGAGAGTGAGTTCTGAACATCTAACAGAGAGGCTGGACTCCCTCAGCCCCAGAGCCCAGGGACCACTCTGGTAGACACAGAGAGGGGCCTACCCAGGGACCAGGGCAGTGGGTATCACTGGTAATGTCAGGGATATCAGGGCTGGGGAGGCATCTTTGTTTCCTGGTACCCTCCTCAAGGTTGCTGACTCTTTGGGAGTGGGAACGGGGAGAAGTCGGGCTGTTCCTTTTGGAGCTGGAGGGAAAAGACCTGGAGACAGAGTTGAGGCAGTTGGGCTCAGGTTCTAGGCACCACGGCTTCTGCACTGGGCTCTGAGGGGAATCTCAGCCAGAGTATCCCAGCCTCCTCCTCCCTCAAATGTCGGGTCAACCAAATACCAATGCATGCATCGATTTTGTGGAAGTCAATCAGAGATGTGGGGAGCTACTGGAGACAAGCACTATTGTACCTCTTTACCTCCACACTTGTCACAAGCAGGGACTGTCCTGTCCCCTCCCCATTTTGCTTAGAACCTGTCATGGTGCCATGGCTTGAACTGGGGTAGGGGGTGGTCTTCTTCATCTTCTCATGCATGGGACAGACAGGGTGATGAGGGAGGGGCTCTGCAGCCCTCCAGCTGAGGCTCAAGGTGGATTCTGACAGAGAGATTGCCAGCAGGGCTAGGCAACTTAGGGGCACAGAAGAGAAGGCAAGAGACTGAAAGCAGCAGCCAGGGAGTGCAGGCTCAGAAGTTCTCGTAGTGGTGAATGAAGTGGGCTCGGTCCTGCCTGTTGACAAGCTGACAGGCCTTCTCTACATTTTTAGTCATTCCTGGAGGGCCACAGCTGAATACCCCAACCTTGCGCACCTGTCAGGGGATTGGAGAGAGAGGGGAGCTTGCAGCCTGGAGGTGCTCACTCTCCTTCCTTGAAGCTCTGGTCATTCCTGAGCCTGGCTGGAATGACCAGGGCTTCAAGCTCAGGCCCTGAGAAGGAGGCTTGAGGTGGAGGGGGTGGAAGTCCTTCTCCAACACTTGACCCCATCTTAGGGCCAGCCTAGCGGGGAACATTCTCTGCTCAGAACAGAGCAGCAGGGTGCTTCAGGGCCAGGATGTCCCGGCAGGGGAAGGTCAGAGTTGCATGGTGGGAGAGACTGGGACTGACCTGAGGGTGGACCTCCTGCAGGGAGTTAAAGAAAGGCTCGAAGGGGGGGCGGCCAAAGTGGGTCACAGAGCGCAGGCCCGTGAAGAGACTCCGGTTCAGCACCTTCTGGAAGTGCCGCTCACAGATGTACTGGGGGCACAGGGGCAAGTCAGACCAACAACAATCAGGGCCAGCCTGAGCCAGCCCACACAGCCCAGGAGACAGAGACTGGGGAGGGGAGGGAGCTGGAGGCTGAGGGTCGGGGCCACCAGCTCTGTGCCTCCTGCAGCTCAGCCTGGTTGTCCACCCACCTGCCTGGCCATCTGCCCACCTGCCTGCCAAGCTGCCCTGCCTGGTGGGCCCTGACATACCAGCATGGTAGTCCTGAGGTCGAACTTCTCAGCCAGCTGGGTGATGTAGATGTGCACAGACACCAGGTCCTGGTGGTCATTCTCCTCCACCTCTCGGATGATGTCAGCCAGCCACTCAAACTGACGCTGGGTCCTTGTCACCCAGATGAAGTAGATCTGGGGACACATGGCTGGAGCTCAGGACCCAGCTCAGCTCAGTCTCCCTAGATCCCAGGTCCCTTCACCTGGGAGGCTGAGAAGCCCCAGACCGACCACTTGCAGATACCAAAGCTGTGGCAGGACCCACCAGCCTGATCCCGGGCTTCCAACTAACAGGTCCCAGCAGAGGCCCTTCTGGCTACACCTCCAACCTCCCTCCAAGTTTGGCATCTGAACCACTGGGGTAAGAATGACCCTTTAGACTCAGTGCCTGCAGTCAGGAGCTTTCTGTCATGGTCAACCACTGTGATGTGGGGACACAATTTGGCTACCTGTTCCCCATATGGCAAATGAGGGAGCGCTGCTCACCTTTTTACAAAGCATTTGGCTGCCCAAGGATGACTTGAAGACCAGGTCTTTGAGGATGGAGGCAAAGGGGGTGACCCCAATGCCCCCTCCCACCAACACTGACACCTCAAATTTATGCCACTCCTGGTGTCCCTCTCCAAATGGTCCATCAAGGTACAGCTGCCAAGAGAAAGGGGAGATGAGATGAGATGAGCCCTGCCCCAGCTCTGATGCCAGAAATGGCGACACAGGCAGAGAGAGGATACAGAAAATCAGTCTTTTCTGTGGCACTCCAGTCCTCTTCCTCTCCCAGGCTGGCCCTGGCATGGCTGGAGCTTCTAGTCTCAGAATAGGGGAGGGTAGAGACCCTCTGCCAGTGCCAGAGGTCCAAAAGCAGGGTTTCCAGTGACGGGCACCTTTGGGAATCCAGCACAGCCACTTCCCCTTGGGGGTGAGTAGATCTCCCTGAGGCGAGTGGTCCAGGGCCCCACTGCCCGGATGTGCAGGCTGAGTGTGTCCTCATGGGGGGCGGAGGTCAGTGTGAAGGGGTGGTACTCAGTGGTCCCCAGAGCCAGGCAGGCAATCCGCACCCACTGCCCCGACTTGTACTCAAAGCCCCGGGGCCGCTGGAACTGCAGGTAGGTCACTCCTGGAGGTCATAGACAGGGAAAAGCATAGATCAGAAGGCCTGCTCCTGGTACCAGAGGACGGACAGGCACTTGTCCTCTCCACACACCTGAGGCCTGCGGAATAGTCACATGGTCTGAGCAAGTGGGGCTCCGGGGGCTAGGAGTAGGAGGGTCCCCTTCTCTGTTTCCCAGGTAGTGCAAAAGCTGGGTTTCTCTGCTCCCCTGTTCCAGCCCCTCTCCTCCTCTCTATTCCCTCTTCCTATGAATGGCCCAGACCTCATACCACTGCCTTGAATACCAACCTGCAGGCTAGAAAGAACTCAGGCTCACCAGGGACCATCTCAGTGGCCACCAAACTTCCATTTGAGGGTGACCTTTCTACACACCTCCTGCACTATCATTTATCTGATGTTTTTCTTTGAACTAACTTTTCCAGTTCAATTTGTCTTGGGAGGGAACTTTATCATTAAGGTAAGTGGAAAACCACCAGTATCATGTGTTCTAAGTAGAAAATTACGTATTTTATTACCAAATTTCAGCTGGATACTGTTTGTTACCTGACCACAGCTGAGCCTCAGGCCTAATCTTTCTGTTGTGAAAGGAGATTTGCGAGTGCTAGAGAGTAGAAAGGCATACTAACGCCACTCTGAGATTCTGTCCTCGAGTAATCTCAATTGAACTAACGTTGCAGTGAGATTAATTTTTTTACAATGTGGGTCCTGAAGTTTAGACAGTCCTGCGATACATAAAATCATTTTTGCCGCCTTCTGTGATGATACCAATCCCGACTTTGGCCAACACGGACTCTCAGCAACAGACTGGCAATCTGGGCATTTGCCTGTCTCTGAGAGAAGGAATGGGACAGGCATAGATGGCTTCCTGCCCTGCACTTCCTCTGCACCCAGGCCACACGTGGAGGCCTTTCCCATCCTCAAACCCCTCTGTATGCACTTGAAGCCACCTCTTCTCAGGGTCACTTCTCACTGTCTGCACGTCTCCTGGGAGTTAAGCACAGCCCTCCCTGGGTCTGCTTCTATCAGGAAATCTTCAGGAACCCCCAGAGGGCATTTTTTTTGGAGACAGGGTCAGAGGCAGCGATGGGGTCAGGAGGCATGGTGAGCTGTCTCCCCATGTCTGAAGATTTAGCCTCTGTCACACCCAACCCAGGTCAGGTCAGTCCTAGTACCTGAGGGCAGCAGCTCCGCCTTCACCACGCTGATCTCCACCTTCTTCCGGCTCAGGCTCACCAGCTTGTCACCCCCATAGATGATTGCTGGGACCAGGAAGTAGATGTGGAAACGGGGCAGCTGGATCAGAGCAAAGCTACCGTGGATGATGAGCTGGAGACATGGCCAGGTAGTACAGCTCAGGCCCAGCCAGGCCCCTTCCTGGCACCCCCTCTTGCCCAGGCACTAGGCTGAGGTCTTGGGTCTTAAATCTCAAGGTCTCATTCTGAGATCTTAGATCTAATTCTCCCTCCTTCCTCCATCACCTTCCCGCCCCATCCTGAGGGCCCTGCTCCATGGCCTGGCCCAGAGAAGTCACTCACCAGGGCATAGAGCAGGACGTAGAGGTGGTGGGTCAGCCAGAAGCCCCGGAAGCTGCGGCGGCGGAAGTGGTGGGAGGCGAAGACATACATGATGGCCAGGACCACCAGCAGGAGCACCCCGGTCATACCTGGGGTCAGGAGGACAGGGCCAGTGAAGTCTGAGGACTTCAAACAACTGCACATTCCCCTACCTCACCCTCCCTCCTCTCTCATCCTTCCGGGGCCCCCGGAAAAGCCTGCCTAGAGGGATTGGAGCTGTGGCTTGTCTTGCAGGCTAGAAAGAGACCCTATGGTCACTATAGACAAGTGAATATTCAAAGAGAGTTGGAGACAAAAGCAGAAGTTCTCAGACAGAACTCCAGATCCCACATTTCCTACCTGGGACGGTCTGGAAGAACCACCAGTAGAACTTCTGGGGAAGCTTGGACCTGGGTAGCAAAGGCACCTTGAGCCTCTCTCTGGAGCAGGAGGGGCCCCAGCACTGTCACACCACATCATGACTCCTTTTCTGCTGGCCCTGACTGCTGAGGGTATGGGGCCTCCACCCAGACGGTCAGGGATCCCTCCAAGGAACTTGGCACCCAGCCTTCCATGGCTCCACCCTCTGTACCCAGCAATTTTTCCTCCTGTGTTATCCATGACTCCTGCTTCCTTGAGTCCCTGGTTCATTATTCTGTAAGTTCCACGAGGGCAGGGATTTTTGTTTCATTCCCTACTCTATCCCGAGGCTTAGAACAATACAAGACACACAGCAAATCTCAGTAAGTAGTTGTTGAATGACTGCATGTATCTTGATATCCCTACTCTGGCATCTGGGTGAACACATGGGACATGCTCCATAAATGTCTGCCCAGTAAATGGATGGAAGGCAGAAATGGCAAACTGTGTGTCAGGTGCATATGGGAAAGAGTCTCTGAGTTTATCTCCCAGACACCTTTCCTGACCAGTCACAGCCAAGTTCCTTCCTGAGAGCAAGAAGTTTACCGTTCAGCTTTCCCCGGGGTGACTAGCTTAGCACTGACCTTCTTGCTGAGTGTCTAAGGCTGTCTTTTTATTTTTTCTTTCTTTTCTTTTCTTTTCTTTTTTTCTGAGTGTCTTGCTCTGTTGTCCAGGCTGGAATGCGGTGGTGCTGATCATGGCTCACTGCAACCTCAAACTCCTGGGTTCAAGCAGTCCTCCTGAGTAGCTGGGACTACAGACATGCACCACCATGTGCCACTAATCTTTTTATGTTTTGTAGAGATGGAGTCTCACTTTGTTGCCCAAGCTGGTCTGGAACTCCTGGCCTCAAGTGATCCTCCTGCCTCAGCCCTCCCAGAGTGTTGGGCTTACAGGTGTGAGCCACTGTGCCCTGCCTGTTTATTTTTCTATTTTACCCTTAGGCCCACCCTAGGAGTCCCAGGAGAAACGTTCCCCAGAACTGACCCATCATTCACAAAGACGTTGGGGAATACACAGGCCAGCAGGCTGAGGGGGCTGACTGAGAAGACATAGACATTGACCGCATGGCCAGCACTGTGCAAAACTGAAAGAAACAGACCCTGTTAGAGATGACAACCAGGACAGACTCTACCTCCAAGCCCGAGGGAGGGAGGAGAGGGAAGAGGCATGGGAGGAGAGATGGAGGCATAAGGAGTTCTGTCTCCTCAGTTTCCCCCAACTAGACCCAGGGTGCTACAGCAAGGAGGAGGAAGCCTGGGAGCCACGTACTGGCCAGGACAACAGCAGCCATGGCGATCCAGCGGTGGAAGTCCACCGCGGCGTCGAAGGGCACGTAGCGGTTGAGGAAGGTTTCTCGCAGGAAGGTGATGAGGTTTCGGCACATGGTGAGCAGGATGTAGGAGAACATGAAGGAGACGCTGGCTGCTGTGCCCCGCGACAGGATGATGCCCACGAGGGTGGTCTGTGCAATGTCCGAGGGTGGTGAGGCAAAGGCATAGTCTGGGACCAGAGGGGGGTTAGATCAGCTTGGCACAAGAGGCCAGGGTCCTGAGCCCTGGGCTCTCCCATACAGACACTGAGGATCAGAGGGCTCGCCACTCCTCTCCAAGGGTCAGAGCCTGCTCCCTGCCCACTGCCCACAGCCTGGAACTCTTACAGTAAGCACGCTCTGCAAACAGGCCAACACAGATGGCTGAGAAGATTGCGACACACATGATGTGCCTCCGGTAGTTCTCCACGAAGCGCTTGTACTGCTGCAGCTTTTGGGCTAGGAGGCCTCGCTGCATCTTCTCTTGCAGCGCCTCTGTGTATAGCCGGGGAGAGGGCACCGCTGCCCTATAGCAAGGGGAGGAAGGGCAGCAGTGTGGTAAGGGCCTTCTGGCCATCCTTTAATGCCACCCTATGAAAGGTGACCTGGGGAATCTGGCAGGCATCAGGATGGGCCACAACAGATGAAAGGAAAAAAGCAATCTAGGGGCTTCTCAGTCCTCCCACACTTTACTTCCATCTGTGTTCCATCAACCCATGCCCTGTGTCCCTGCCATTCCCCCTTCTCCTGTCTGTTCCATCCTTGCCTCTTCCTGATTCCAGCACAGGCCTCAAGGCTGTGCCCAAAGCAGGCAGGAGCCAGGAGACCCCTTACTACCATCCTGTTGAGCCAGGACCCTTGCCTGAAGAATAGGGTGCAGAGATTGGAAGAGGATGAAAAGTCATTCAACACTATAGCCCCTCAGTGAGGTCAGGAACAAAATGAGACTCAGGATGGTCCCTTATATGTCAAGGATGTATGGCCAGGGCCTAGGGACTCTGAGACTTCTGTCCATGCCCCTTTGAGCCCCGGGTTTTGGGAAACACTCACTTTTTGCCAAACCTCTTCTTCAGCCCAGGGCCTCCCAGCTCTGGGGCTTCTGAAGCAGGGGGCCCCAGTCCCTGGGGGTGGGAGCTGAGAAAAAGAAATGGGGCTATTCTCTCCTTGTCTTTGCAGCCAGGAGAAGAACTGCCAGATCAGAGCATGATGTAGAGGTAGGGAGTGGGACCAAGCAGGGGGCAAGGTGCAAAATGAACTAATAGGATCTGATTATTTGTTTTGTAGAATGATTCTGGCCTGGAGTGGCAGGGAGAGAGCCAGGCATCTGAGTAGCATAAGGTGACGGAGGCAGCTGGAATTTTTGTGCTATGGCTGAACATGCACCAAGAGCTACTTTCAAAGGGCATATGCCTGATTTGTCTGGGATTGATCAATCCCACTCCCTTCATTTCTCTGCAGGGGGCTCAGCCAGGACAACCTGCCAGAGCCCCATTCCTGCTCACCATTTCCCAGGTGTCCGAGTGATGAATGAGACTCTACAGCTGATGTTTTGTCTAAAGATGTCTCTAATATCTAGAGAAGAGAACAAGAGGCGGGACTGGTTTCCCCACAAGGGCAGTGGGATAGGAAGGGAGACTGTGCTCTCCTCCCTCCTGGGAAAGTCCTGTCCAGATCTCTGACTCCAGCCCTGTTTCCCTCCTTCCCCACACTAAGCGCTCACTGTACACAGGACAGACAATGTGGCAACTTTGTGCAAGGAAGGGGACGTCCTCTTAGGTGGATGCAACCCTGTAGGTCCTTTGTGTAAAAGAAACAGTGCCTCTTCCTCTGGCCAGATATATCCTAGGGTAGATTTCAACCTGCTCCTTGACCTCAGTGAGCAACCTTGTGCAGTAGACAACTTGCACACCTGTATGTGTCATCCCAATTACATGTGATTGGTTCTGTACTAGGTAGCAAGGACTTGGGTCCTGCCCACTGGGCATTCTCATTTTGAAGACACCCCCCCACCCCCAACTGCAACCATTCCTCACACACTTACCACCTCCACCTCCACCTTTGACACAGAGCTGTGTGAAGCGGAGCTCGCTGTCATGGTCCCGCAGCATGAAGTGAAAATCCTCCCACGTCAGCTCCTCCTTGTCCTGGAAGCCTGACTCCCGGAACATGGACTCCACCACCTCGGCCAGCTGGGCCTTGGACAGGCAGTTGTTGGAGATCTCGATGAAGGACCTGGGGGAGGACCAGAGACACAGCAGCCTGTCACCTATCATGGTCAGGCTCGGGTAGGTGCCGGGTGGGGCAGGCCCTGGATTATCTAATGTGGTTACCATGACCCGGGAAATGGCACTGAGAAGGCCTGCAGCTGACACTAAGCTGGGTGGAGTGGCCATGGACTCAAAAGGCAGAACAGAATTGAAAGTGACCTTGACCAGTTGGAGAAAGCAGCTCTCAAACCTCAAACGGGGCATCTACAACTGGGATGAGACTCCACTGAGTGCAGGGATATGTCAGGGTGTGCATGGTCCTCTCTCATGGTAGGCTCTCTGCCCACTCTCCTTCTGTCGATACCTCCCACACCACCCCTGGGCTTCCCCTTTCATAGTATGGTGGGGGCAGCAGGGTGCTGGGGAGGGGACCTAACTGCAGTGCTGCTGCTTCCTTGTGCCAACACCCCAGGGCACAGGAGGGAGCGTCTCCACGCCCAACCTAACAGGACCCATAGTGGCACCTGCAATAGCCAAGCTCTGTTCATAGGTTGTACTTTGGGACAGAAACAGACAGACTATGCATGTTTGTGTAAGTCCAGCAGCATGCTGAGCCTGCATGGCACAGCAAGCACAGCCACCACCTTAAAAACATCATCCCAATGGGAGTAAGCAAGATACACACTGAGTTACAGGACAAGAAGGTGGGAACTCACCGGGTGCAGTGGCTCATGCCTATAATCCCAGCACTTTGGGAGGCTGAGGTGGACAGATCACTTGAGGTCAAGAGTTTGAGACCAGCCTGGCCAAAACAGTGAAACCCCATCTGTACTAAAAATACAAAAACTAGCTGGATGTGGTAGCTCACACCTGTCATCCCACCTACTTGGGAGGCTGAGGCAGGAGAATTGCTTGAACCCAGGAGGCGAAGGTTGCAGTGAGCCAAGATTATGCCACTACTCCCGCCTGGGTGACAGAATGACTCTTTCCCAAACAAACAAACAAAGAAGGTGGGAACTCAGCCCTTGGAGCCCAGGACCCTCTCCTAGATTCCGTAAAGCCCCACCTGGGACTGGGCTTTCAATGACAACCCAGTAAGGTACAGACTGCGGTAGCTTTGCCCTTTCAGAAGCCCTTGTCCGGTTGGGGTGTCTGGACTACATGAGGGATGTAGCGGTTAAGGGGAATGCTTAATGCAATGGAGAAGCTTAAAGGGACAGACAAATTAAAATAATGGGGCTGTTATATCTATTCTTTGTATTCATTTGCTCACTTATTCATTTTGTCTTAGTTATGTATGAAATGCCTGCCCTGTGCCAATCACAATGTGGAGAAGCTGGATTCAACAGGGAACAAAGCCTGCCCTTATGGCGTGGAGGGGAGCTGTGTTACTGACACATTCATTGTCTTCAGGAATGAGAAACACAAAGCTGCTTTTTTAAATAAGCACATTAAAACCAGAAATGGCTTAAGATGCAGGAAAAATGGTTGGAATATAGAGAAGCCTTCCACATTTCTCTTCCTATCATGGTGATGAATATTGGAACAGCGACCAACGTCATCCCTTCACAATTTCACTGGGGAAAGCACAGTGTTAGGCACGCTGTAAAGCAGTTTACAAAGATCCAAGGGCATCCAAGAGGGATTAGTGGATTTTTGTTGTTGGCCATATTGGTGTTGGGTTTTGTTTTTTTAACCCGGGAGACTTTTCTGGCTGGCGTTGACAGTGAAGACAGAGACTCTCCCAGAGGCAGGAGCCAGTCAGGTAAATTTTGAAGGTGGATACTCTGGGAGTTTAGGATGTAGTGTCTAGGCCACCCCTCAGCACAGATGACCACATAGCCTCTTTGCTAGCCCTCCTCTGACTCGACCTGTTTTCCTGTTTGAAACACACCAGGAAGTCTCAGGATTAGAAAGGCACACCCCATACCGCATCATGGTGAAGAACTCGTCCTTGGAGAGGAAACCATTCTCATCCAGGTCATACATGGTAAACATCAGACGGGACTTATCCTCCGGGGAGCCTGGGACGAGAAAAGGGGATGCAGGTCATCTCCTTGCTGAAAGACCCTGGGTCCTTGGATAGCCTGCCACCTCCCAGCCCCCTACCTTTCATGAAGACCACCAGGATGTCCAGGAACTCCCGGAAGGACAGGTAGCCATTGCCATCCTTGTCAGCCAGAGAGAACATGGACTCCACAAACATGTCCTGGGGCTTAAGGCCAAGGGACTCGGCAAACTCAGCCCTGCTCAGCTCGCAGGTCAGGGCCTCCCGCACCTTCTGGGAGGAGTCCAGGGGCAGGGTCCCTGCATCAGCCTGGTTGATGTCCAGCACCTGCACTTGGGCAGCAGCAGAGGGAGGGAGAGAAGGAAGTGAAGCCTGTGCTGGAAGCAGTTCAGTGACCCTTCACATCTCCCCAAAGTCCAAATCAGAAAGGCTGAACCCTGGTGGTTCTCCTGATCCTTAGATATACTGACTGGGGCCTCTGTTCTCCTAGAGATGGGGGAATCAAATCTCTAGCAGCCTGCCCATTTCTTCCTGGGCCCAAGAACTGGGAGCTTCAAACAGTGGAGATGGCGCTGGGGTAGGGAAGGGGAAGTCCAAAGTTGAGGGCAATGAAAAGTGAAAGCCTATACTGGGGACAGAAGATGAGACATAGTAGACAAGATTCTCTTGCCTCAGCCTCCCAAGTAGCTGAGGGAAGGGGCTGGAGTGTTGCCAATTCAGATAAGGCTGCCACGTGCCTGTGATTTGGTCTCTGCCCATTATGCAAAATGTTTAAAAGTCACATATAACAACCATTTTTTTTTTTCTGAGATGGAGTCTCGCTGTCGCCCATGCTGGAGTGCAGTGGTGTGATCTTGGTTCACTGCAACGTCTGCCTCCAGGATTCAAGCGATTCTCTTGCCTCAGCCTCCCAAGTAGCTGGGATTACAGGTGTCCACCATCACACCCAGCTAATTTTTGTATTTTTAATAGAAACAGGGTTTTACCATGTTGGCCAAGCTAGTCTCGAACTCCTGACCTCAGGTGATCCACCCACCTTGGCCTCCCAAAGTGCTAAGATTACAGACATGAGCCACTGTGTCCCGCCACAACCATTTTAAATGCCTACAATGTACCTACCACTTGGGCTAATAAGCACTGTACATAAAACAGTGTTTTTCAAACATTAGAGTATATCTGAATCATCTGGAGAGCTTGTTAAAACACACATTGCCAGGCTCCACCCACAGAGTTCCTGATTTGGTCTGACTGGGTAGGTCAGACTGAACACGTTCCTAGGTGAGGCTGATGATTGGGTCCAGGGGCCAACCTCTGAGGACCACTCATGTAGACGATCTCACTGAATCCTCACAACAATGCAATGGGATGGACACAGTTTTCATCACTGTTTTATAGATGAGGAAACAGAAATACAGAACAGTGATAATGTCACTTGCCTAAGGTCACACAGGTAAGTAAAGTGGCAATGCCAGGGTTTAAACAAGCCTATCTGTCTCCAGGCCATAGAGCAGAAGCTTAGTTCACCCACAGGGGGTTCTATCCAGCCCAGGTTTTCTCCATTCCTGGGGTTGGGCCCATCTCCAAAAGGCACAGGTCATGGCACCTGAGCAAAAAGGTGTCTGAAGAAGATCTCCAGGATGCGTTCCCGCTGCTGCTTGGTCACGGCCTTCCTAAGTAGCTCTTTCTCACTCATTTCAGCCACACGGAGGCCCAGAGCCCAGCGCACACAGAAGTCCTGTAGCTGCCGCACAAAGGCTCCCCGTTCCTCTTCAGAACTAAACAGCAGCACCTGGGTAGGAGGAAGGCGGCACTGATGTAGGGAGCTTCCTGGAGCTTCTGCTTCCGCCTCCCCATAAAGGATCTTGGGTTGAGAGGAGGGGAGAAAAGCTCCTGCCATGCATCCAGGCCGGGGCCAGGTGTGTGGCCAAAGGGGGTCAGGTTGAGTCTGGAGGCCTCTGAAAGGAGCCCTCTCCCCAGCAGCAGCTGTCATAGGTGAGCTCTATAACTGAGGATGGGGGGGGGCCTAAGAGGCCTCACTTATGAAAGTGGAGTAGTATGAGGGCAGCCCACACAGGGGTGGCAGGACCAGCCATACCAGGTCATACTCCTTGGGGATCTTGAGCAGCAGGGTGCGGCAACCTCGGTTGCTGGACACGATGAGATTGACCTGCTGCCAAGGCTGCAGCTGGACCAGGCGGAGCACAGTGAGACGCCTGTTTAGGACCTGGAGACACCTGTCTGGCAGCAGCTGGATGATGATGGGACAGTTCCTCTCCTTGGGGCCTGGCCACTCCATCGCTGGGGACGGGATGATTGGGCCAGGTAGTTCAGCAGATGTCCCCAGGTCCCCACCTTCAGGCTGATTCCACTGGAGTCTGAGCAGGCACCCTAAAGCCTGGCTTTCCTCCCACTCTGTAACTTGGTTCTCTCTCCCAGACTTCTTCCCCCTCCAACCTCCCTGTCGCTCTTCCCTCCCCGCTCCTCTGCCCAGCCCCTTCTCACCTGGCACTCCGTCTTTGGCTGCTTCCTTTTTCATGCTCTCTTTGCCTTTCTTTTGCAGCTTCTTGCGTTCTCGGCCCCGGAAATAGGCCACCACTCCAGAGAGAAGCAGACTCACTGAAGGGGATCAGAAGGAGCCAGTGAGGAGGGAGCCTCACCTAGAACTTCACTGAGGCTTCCAACATGGCCCCTCTTTCCAAAGGTTCCTTGAGCCTAATCTCAAACTGTACCAAATAGCCACCCCCTCAGGCCAGCAGGAAATGAGGGGCAGGGCCAGTCTGCAGGAGACTGCATAAGAGCTCACCTAAGGGAAGGCAGCAGAGAGCCACGATGGTGATGGCAAAACCAGGACTGCTACCCTCAAAGAAGTCAAGCACAGTCAGCGGTGCACATTGGGGCAAGCTGTCAGTTGTGAGCTGTTTAGGCTGAGGACAGGGTGCACCTGAGGGAGAGGGCACAGAAGACCTCAAAGTCTGAGGATCCTGCAACTTGGCCAGACCTCTTTCCCCTCTATCTTACCAAGGACCAAGATATCATCTGTCTTCCCCAGGCCCACCTCCCTGAAACTGTCTCCCTCAAAAAGTTCCCATCCACATCCCATCTCCTGGCATCTACCCCATCCACCCCTTCTCGACTCCAGGGTGCAGCTTGTGTGCCAGTTGAGGTCCCAGCCTAATGCAGGCCTTCCAGCCCAACACAGAAGGTGCCTGGCTCCCTGGACAGCACTAAGTGATTCCCCCACACCCTCAACCTTGATCCTTCTCTGGCCACTGTCACTCACTTGTGTTCTCCCAGGACACTCACCTTTATGCCAGACAAAGACACTGGGCTGCAGAGCACTGGGGTCGAGGTTGATAACAGCAACCAGCACGTCCCGCAGGGTGGTATTTCGGATTTCTTCAATCTCCTTCTTGGAGAACAGCCTAAGATGGAAGAAGTAGAAGTCACTGGGATGGAAAGGGGATGCAGGCCTCCAGCAACCCCAGGCCCAAGGACCCAGTGAGAAAAGAGACCCAGAGGAGCCAGGTGAGGCAGCTCACACCTGTAAACCCAACACTTTGGGAGGCCAAGGCAGGTGAATCACTTGAGGTCAGGAGTGAGAGACCAGCCTGATCAACATGGTGAAACCCCGTGTCTACTAAAAATACAAAAAAAAAAAAAAAAAAAAAAAGCCGGGCACGGTGGCTCACGCCTGTAATCCCACTTTGGGAGGCCGAGGCGGGTGGATCACGAGGTCAGGAGATCCAGACCATCCTGGTCAACATGGTGAAACCCCGTCTCTACTAAATGCAGAAAACTAGCTGGGCACGGTGGCGCGTGCCTGTAGTCCCAGCTACTCAGGAGGCTGAGGCAGGAGAATTGCAGAATTGCCTGAACCCAGGAGACGGAGGTTGCAGTGAGCTGAGATCGCGCCATTGCACTCCAGCCTGGATAACAAGAGCAAAACTCCGCCTCAAAAAAAAAAAAAAAAAAAAAAAAATTAGCTGGGCTTGGTGGTGCAGTAAAGTAGAGGATTCCCAGCTCCAGCTACTCAGGACGCTGAGGCAGGAGAATTGCTTGGACCTGGGAGGTGGTGGTTGCATTGAGCCAAGATTGCACCACTGCACTCCAGCCTGGGCAACAAAGCTAGACTTTGTCTCAAAAAAAAAAAAAAGGGCCCAGAGGGGTTTGGAAGTTGGGAAGGGGGTGGTGACTGGGAATCAAGGGCTCATAGAGGCTGTCTAAGGCCAAGCAGAGGGTTTGGGGCCCAGGCTGGGGAGGAGCCTGAGGTGGGGGGCCCAGGCAGGCCTTACCCATTCCTGCTGTTCTCAAACCAGTAGCGATCACCATCCCGCAGCCGTGCAAACTGGTCGAGGACAATGGTGCTGAACAGGGGTCCCGGGTCCCCATGGCTCTCCAGGAGCCCCCCAGGGAGCAGCTCTAGCTTGGATAGGTCCTGGTTGTACAGGGCAGCTGTGGCCTCCAGCACCTGGATCATCACAGAGATAGGGGTGAGTGGTGCAGTGTCTTTTGTTGGGAAGGGCAGCCACTGCTGCCCCCTCCCTCAGACACAGGACCCCAGCAGCTGCCTGGCTTGCTGTCCAGGCCTGATTTCCTTTTTTAGATAAGTCCCCTCAGGCAGGGCAAGTCTGGTGGAAGGTTCAGTGTGTCCCTAACCACAGTGAGACCATGGTCAGGTGCCCGAGGACCATATCTTGTGACCATCACTACTCAGTCTGCCTGACCTCAATGATTAGCAGCTTCACGGGCACCCAGCCCTTGGTGTGGGAGCCTGCAACAACAGGACAATGGCATCCAACCCAGGAGCCACCCTGCAGGAATGGTACAATGCAGTGGTTGGGAATATACTCTGGAATCAGATGGCTGAATTTAAGTCCTGCCTCTACAATTTACCAACTATGTCATCAATAAAATGGGGATGATGATTATATATACCTTATGACATTATTATATAGATTAAATGAGTCAACATACATTAAGGGTTTGAAACAGTATTGCTATAGGAAAGCTTTAGCTGCCAGTATTATTGTTACTATTCCTGACCTGGGGGTCCACATTAGGGTTGAGATCACTCCAGTTCTTTGGGATGTCCAGCCCCCAGGCCAGCAGGGCCTGTCTATAGCTGGGCAGCCCCATATCTCGGCCACGTTGGATGCTGCTGGCCACATAGTCTGTACGGGAAAATTTGCCAGGGCCAGGCCAGTAATCTGAAGAGGAGAGAAGACCAGACTATGAGCTTTGTCCTCTCTACCCTTTCTTGCCCTGCAGCCTTGTATCCAACTGTTGGCACTATGGTTCTTCCCTCCCCACTACCCCCAGTGATCCACATGAGATCTGTGCCCATGCTCACCTTGCCTTGCTACAAGGCCAATGTCACCATGTGTGATCAGGGCCAGTTTTTCCAGTAAGACCCTTCCTCTAAGACTCAAGACTATTCTAGTCACCAAGCAGTAAATTCCCTGTCCTATGCCTCCCTAATTTCAAGACAGGGCTGAAGGAAAACCTTTAGAGACCTAACTAAGCACCAAAGAGACTGTGATATCACTCCTTCCCAATACTCACACATAGTTAATTTAAAATAAAAGCAATACAAAACTGTAAGAAAAAAAACTTCAAAGTTCATTTTCTTCCTATGGCTACTTAAAGTCTGTGTTTGTGTCTGTGTTCCTGCATCGTGGGTGCCCTAGGTCTGCCTGCTGATGAATCCAGAGGGATCCTCAGGCTTCCTGGCCCCTTACCACCCACCCCTTCTGGCTCTGAGCTCACCCCTCAGATCTTCAACCACCATCCTGTCCTCCAGCTCCGAAATCTGGGAGGCCATTCCCAGTAGCAGTTCATTCACCTCCTGGGTACTGTTCAGATTGGGGTTCTAGAAGCAAACAACACACTCGAGATAGGCTCTAAGGCCCCTACTCAAAGCTTAGTCTCTCTCAGCCTGGACCACTTTAGCACCCCAGGACAAAGGGCCCTTGGCCAGTCCCAGACTCTCTCGAGCTGTTGTCCCTGGATAATTTCCTCTACCCTTCATCTCCCAGGAACCTGGGGCAACAACACCCAAGAAGTGGGATTGTTGCTTTTCCCAGCCTGTTTGAAGAGACTGACCTTGACCCATCTTCCCCTGACCCTGACCCCAGTCTGACCTCCCGAATCCAGTAGTTGTTGCAGACCCTAAGAGCCTGGGAGTTTTGAAAACCCTTGTTCAGGACCTTCCGGAAATGACAGCTGGCATTTCTGAAATGGAGAACAAAGATGGGGTTGAGTGTGCTGAGGGACTCAGTGGGGGTTCACTAGGATTGAGCACTGGCCCAGGAACTTCCTTGAACTTGACAGAGATTTGGCAATGCGTGTTTACTGAAGATAGCCTGTGCTCCTAGTCCAGGTAGGGTGGGGAGAGGAGGGAAGGGGAATGACCCAGCTGCTAGACAAATCCAACACTCAGCAACCAAAGTTCAGCCATTAGGAGAGCTGGGGAGACTTCCCAACTAAGCCCAAACCTCTTAACCCTGTTCCAGGGCCCCAGATTTTGCTTCCCTTCTCCAGTGAAACTGTGAAAGAGTGTGAAAGGCCCCAGCTTCCAAGGCAGCTCATTCTGCACCTTTCTCAGTGTGGTGCCCACTCTCTGCCAGCCCCTCCTCACCTCATGTAGATGCCAGGGGGCACCATGGTGGAGAAGAACTGCTCAGAGGCCACCACAAATTCCGGGGAGATGCTGGGGTCTAGGAAAGGACGGTATCCTGCAGGAAGAACATCGAGATGATAGGGAGATAGGTTCCTTGTCTCCCCATCCTCCCATCACACACACCTGTCTTCTTTCCCCACAGGATTCTCAGCACAGATGACCTCCGACTCCTCACTCCCTCACCTTTATACTCCGGGAGTGTTTTCTGCAGGAAGCTGGGCAGCCACTCATACACAGCGATGTTCTGAGGGGCAGAGAGGGGCGAGGGGAGGCGCGAGTTGGACCAGGCGGGGCCTGGAAGGGTCTGAGCCCAAGGACTGCTTCCATGTGGAGATAAGGACCAGGCAGGGGCAGTCATGGAAGAAACGACTCAAACAGGAGCGGCGTGAGGCCTGTCCCCGCAAGGAACCAGGGCATTTGGGGCAGTGGGGGTGGGGAGGTGATAAATAATCGTCGCCAGCCAGATTTCACCTATAAACAGCGCGTGCCTCCCTATCATTTACAGGAGCTTCCCTAGACCTCGGCTGTCTGGGAAGGGGTTTCTGGGTGAACGTTGTCCACGGATGGGGAGCTCCGTGGGCAGCGGAGTCTCCGGTGGGCCTGCACGCGGAAGCGGGGACGTCGCAGGGCGGGGACGGCTGACCTGGTAGGTGGCGATGACCCTCTTGCGCGCGTGCTGGAACAGCTCCTCGTCCCCCCAGTCTGGGTGCTGGCGGGCCAGCCTCTGCGCGCACAGGTTGTGGTAGCGGAACCAGAGCAGGCCCAGCGCCTGCAGGAAGGGCTCCCGGTTCCCTCGCTCCGCCCCGAAGGCTGCATCCGACGTGGGGGCGCAAGGGGGGAGATGAGCCGTAGCGTGACCCCGGGAGCCCACACTCGCAGACCCCCAGCCGGCCCCGTCTCGCCCTCGCGGCCTCACCGTACAGCCCCCGGGGCCCGCTCTGCCCGGTGGCGGGGTCGGGCGCAGCCCACATGAGCAGGGGGTTCTGCGAGTCTCTGGGGAAGGCAGGGTCGGGCCCCGACGCCAGCTGTCCCCCAGAGAAGCTCCGCAGCGCGTCGTTCCAGGAGTGAGAGGAGCCATAGATGGCGCTGCCGTCCAGCCAGCCCGTCACCTGGTTGGTCTGCGGGGCAAGCGGCGGGTGAGCGGGGGTCGTGGGGGCGGCGGCGGGCCAGGGAAGGCCGGGGGGCCCAGGGGGTGTCCGGGGCTGGGGAGTGAGCGCCTCTCCCTGCCAGGCCCTTCCAGGCCTGCAGCCCGGGCCCCACCTGCCTGGGGTGCAGCCCCTTCCTGCCGCCTCCCCTGGCTCACCAGGTCCCGGGGGTTGCTGGGGCTGCGTCCGGTCTCTGGGTCCCAGCGGCTCCTCTGGAAGGGCAGCACCACGTCCCCACGCTGGTCGGGGTCGAATACGGGGTCTCCGGGCGGGATGCGGATGTTGAGGAACTCGGCGGGGCAACCGGGCGTTTCCACGTCGACCACGTCGGAAAGAACATGGTAGCCTGCGGGCATGGGGCGCAAACAGGTGAGCAAACCGTCCGTATCGCGCCCTCCACCACGGCCTGGTCGGCCTCCAAGTGTCCTCAGGAGCCGAAAGACAGAGGTCCCAGTGCCAGCTCCGCTACCAGCTCTGCAGGTTAGCCCCAGGGAGCATCAATTTTCTCATCTGCAAAGTGAGACTATAACGAGTTCCCTTTCTACCCAATTCACAAAGCTCTTGTGAGAATTCAAATGATATAATTTATGTAGGGGCGCCTCAAGTCAGTCCTCCTCCCTCTGGGTGGGGGCGGGGAGAGGTAAGATGGTCACTAACAAATGATGAGGAGAGCGGTGGCTGGGGGAACTCAGTTCCCAAGAGCTATAATGGGAGTCCAGTGACACCTCTAGTTTGGAGCAAGGCGTAAGAGAAAGATTAGTGAGCGAATATCACTGTGTCAACATGCCAAATGTCTTCGAGATCAAGGCAGTCTCGAAGTGCTGCTTAGAGAGGAAGTGGTTGAGTCTAGGATCTGTCTCCTGTGGACTCGCAGAGGGGATCTGGCCCCTCCCCCAGGCTGAGCAGAGCGCCAGATCAACCCCACTGGTCTCCTCCTTATCCCTCACCAAAGAAGACCCCCAGTACTGTGCGGTTGCGAAGCGACGGCAGCCCGGCTTTTCCCAGCGTGGCGGCGTCGCTGAGCCGGCGCGGGTTGGGCAGCTGCGGCTCCTCCACGGCCTGATACACACCGTCGGCGTAATTGGCTGGTATGCGGCGCTGCAGCCGGGAGCCTGAGGAGGCAGGGAGCGGGGCGCTAAGCACTCCATCCCTAAGATTCCCTAACCCTCTCCCTAGCCTCCCTCAGCCGCTATCCCTCTTCTCAGACGGAACGATCTCTAAAGGGTCTCTTGGCCCCAGGAGCTGTGTAGACAGAGGAGCTGCTGGGCGAGTGTTCCCCGCAGATTCTCTGCTCAGAGGCTCCCAGCACCCGCGAGCCGCGGCCCCAGCACCAGCGGCTCCAGGACGCACCAACAGCGCCAAGCTCGTGGTGCCTCAGGTTGTTAAACCAGCCGTCGTAACGCTGCACTTCCCAGGGCAGTAAGAGTGCTTCCTGACCGCCTGTGGACACGGAGAAGGGCCTCCTCAGCACTAGGCTCCCAGCTACCCCTCCCGGACCCGACGGGCTCGGACCGTCCCTACCCAGCTCGAGGAGCGTCCCTAACCCGACCCAAGTGTCAGGCGGCACTAGGAAGTTTCCCATCCCGCTGGGCTGCGCAGCGAACTGACCTTCCAGTCTCAGGGAGCCGCTTGCCGCACATTTCCCCTCCCTACCTCCCAGGGGATCCTGGGGGACACCCGGCAGCTAGAGGAGCCGGATACTTGCCCGCTGGATACAGGGATCCAATCAGCAGAGCTCCCAGGAGCATCAGTTCCTCTGATCTTGCACGGAGCATGCCAACCCTGCAGCCTGCGGGGCGGGGGTGGGGGTGGCAGGTGGTATGTGAAGGCCACTGTTAGGGTGTCCTCTATCCCTCCCCTCTCGTTCCTACAGAGAGAAGGAGGAACGCCAGCTGTTTCCACTTCTGGAACGTAGCTGTTAGAAGCATCACTGAGGGCCTGCATCCAAACACCACTCTTTCAGGACAATTGGCAGCTATGAGGCATGGACACTGTTCCCCATCCGCCACCCCCTCAGATAGTTAACCCCCGACCATAGGAATCCACTGGGCAGGAGTCTCCTGGGGCATCGGGCGCGCCCAATGTCTCGAATGTATCACCTCCATCACTAGCACTAATCCGACAGGCTCCGCTTCTCCTCCAGGAGGTAGGGAAGGGAAAGAGGCTACTGAGTTGGGAGCTAGGGACCTGCAGCACCCTTCCGCAATGAATCCCCCTTCCCCAATGAACTCCCCTTCTGCAGTGAACGCCTGTCCGTGATGAGTGAGGGCTACGGTCTAACCTGTGGTTTATGGTGGTGTCGGGTTCAGACGTCTTCTTGTCTCTTAAAAATCTTCACTTCTGTGCTCTACTTCTTGACTTCACCCCCGCTCCTCCAGCTCCGCTGATCCTCAGCCTCCCTGGCTGCACTCTCACCTTCCTCTCTGGGTCTTCGGTCTCACCGCCTCGCCAGTGTTGGCTCAGGACAGACCTGCGCCGAATCTGAGCATCTGGACCCAGGGCTCACCCTCCTGCTGTGCAGGCGGGGCCCTTATTTGCATAGCCTCTTTCCTCTGGGACTCGGCCGCTGGGCTGGGACACCTGAGTGGCACGCCGCCCACTCTGCTATAAAAGGGGTCCCGCGCGGCTTCCAAACTCAGCGCGAACCCGCAGAACCAGGAAAGTAACTGGCTACAGACAGTGAGAAATAGTTTCGCTCGCCAACTAACCAAACTGTCGGTATCAACCCCAGAGCGTTAGGAGCAGCCCGCCACTACGTTTCCTTAGCGGAGAGGTGCAGAACTCAGACTTCACCAGCACACTCGGTGCCGGCGTTGTACGCGAAGAGGCGCCAGGACGCGCTCTCCAGCACCCAAGCAGCCCCAGCTTGCCGGCCTGCCTGCCCTCCCGCGTGCAGCCCTCGGCCGGCCGGCCTGCAGCATGACCCTGTGGAACGGTGTACTGCCTTTTTACCCCCAGTCCCGGCATGCGGCAGGCTTCAGCGTCCCACTGCTCATCGTTATTCTAGTGTTTTTGGCTTTAGCAGCAAGCTTCCTGCTCATCTTGCCCGGGATCCGTGGCCACTCGGTAAGGGTGTCTTAGTAGTTCGGGTAGAGTGGGGGGAGTCGTCATGGGCAAATTGTCTCCCGAGGGACCCAGAACAGGTAAGACTGTGCAAGGGCCTCCATGAATAGTCAAACTGAGGCTCAGGTGGAGCGAAGTCAGGAGTCTGGTGCAGCAAGCACCCCTTCCCAAGGACAGGGAGAACTCCCCATCCAGGACATTCTGAAGAAGGACCCCAGCTGGGTCCTTGGGAAGGCTGCTGCAGAGGATGGGCACCCAGTCCAGTAATCCTGAGGCAGAGCCTAGACTTCATGTGCTGCCAGGGCCTCTCACCTCTCCCAGGATGCAGCCGCACTCTCATCCCATCCTGAGGGTGATGACCTTCGAGCCAAGAGGACAGATGCCAGTAGCTCAGATTGTGGTGTTCCCCTTTGCACTGAGTCAAGACATACATACGTGTATGAGTACCGCATCCTAAGGACTGAGAATCCCACATTGGATTGGAAGTTGGCGCCAACTGGGTGCATTTCTTAGAGTTCCCCCTCCCTCAGCACCTAAGTTGTGCATTTTTCAATTCTGGAGGACCCAGCTTTTCTGCATATTAATCTGTTTTGGTTTCCCTGGAACTGGTACACTTAGGAGTATCTGCATTCCCACCTCCTCCACTTGGAGACCAGGCCCTGGGGCCTCCCTCTTCTGAGGGAGGTGACCCTTGCGTGCCTAGCACTTCTGGACTAACTGAGCCTTACCAAGCAGTGACTGGACCAGGAGGCAGAACCAGGACCAGGCGCCAGACAGCTGGGAGAGTGAAGGTGGTGGAAGAGTGCCAGAAGTGGGGGGTGAGGGGAAGGTGCTTTTAGGGTAGACAGAAAATGGGGCTAGGGAAGTGAAAGCTCATGGTCACAAAACATCAGAAATGCCAGTAGTCCAGAGGGACTTGCAGGAAAAGCATGCCTAGCATTAGTCTCATAGGTCTGGATGTAACCAAAGATCCAGGTGGAGTGGGGTCAAAGGTGGTCTTGGGGACTTTGGTTGGGCAGGGCTCAGGCCTGACCCGGGTGCCTATTCCTGCAGCGCTGGTTCTGGTTGGTGAGAGTTCTTCTCAGCCTGTTCATAGGCGCTGAAATCGTGGGTGAGTGTGTGGTCCAGCCCGTGGGGAGAGGAGTGGGTGAGAACGGAGGTGGGCAGAGGGCACCTGGGACAATAGGGAACTGGGGTTGGTTTTCTGCTCCCTATTCCCTCTCTCCAGCTCTTTCTAGAGCCCGCTTTTTGGCCCTTACCATGCAACCACATTCGACCTCTAAGTCCCCATCTCTCTGCAGTGTCCCACCTCTTATCACCGCTCTCTAATTCCATTTTCCCACCTTCATCCCACCTTTCCCTACAGCTGTGCACTTCAGTGCAGAGTGGTTGGTGGGTAGAGTGAACACCAACACAACCTACAAGGCCTTCAGCTCAGCGCGCGTTAGAGCCCGCGTCGGTCTGCTCGTGGGCCTGGAGGGCATTAATATTACACTCACAGGTGAGGGGGCTGGGGCGAAGTGAACTCCTGGGGTTGGGAGATCCCCTGGTTAGGAGAGTGTGTCAGGGATACCTGAAGGGCCTCTCACATTCCGCAAGCTCAAATAGTTTGTGGTCCTCCTGGGTCTGCGTTTTCTCCAACCACCATCGAACCCATTTCTCCCTCCGTGAGCGCCGCATCCCCGCTTTCCTATCTGAATCCACTTAGTCGCGAGTTCTCCGACAGCGCGCAGCCCGGTAAGCCCGCCGCACTCCGCAGGGACCCCGGTGCTGCAGCTGAATGAGACCATTGACTACAACGAGCAGTTCACCTGGCGTCTGAAAGAGAATTTCGCCGGGGAGTACGCCAACGCACTGGAGAAAGGGCTGCCGGACCCAGTGCTCTACCTGGCGGAGAAGTTCACACCGAGTAGCCCTTGCGGCCTGTACCACAAGTACCACCTGGCGGGACACTACGCCTCGGCCTTGCTGTGGTAAGCGCTGTAGGGAAGGCCGTGTGCACTTGTGTGCGCCAGGAGCCGGGCCGTGTGAGCGGAAGGACGCAGGCCTCGAAGGCGTTGAGCAGCTGCAGCCAGACCAGACGCGCTCGGGGTGGGCATGACAGCCTCGCGGGTCCGAAGATCACGAGGTCTGCAGAGACCGGCAGAATCCAGAGAGACTCCAGCCACCGCCTGGAGCTCGGGAGCCCACTTCTCCCCCGGGGAATTCCCCTGCGCCGCAGCCATCCCAGCACCGGGCTTTGGCGCTGGGGTAGGGACCGAGGGGAGCGAGGCTTTGGGAACCCCGGCGGGCTGGGAGAAGCCCACTCACACCCGGTCCCCCCACTCCCCTGAAGGGTGGCGTTCTGCTTCTGGCTCCTCTCCAACGTACTGCTCTCCACGCCGGCCCCGCTCTACGGAGGCCTAGCACTACTGACCACCGGAGCCTTCGTGCTCTTGGCGATCTTCTCCTGGGCCTCCACCTCCACAGTGCCGCTCTGTCCGCTCCGCCTAGGCTCCTCCGCGCTCACCACTCAGTACGGTACCGCCTTTTGGGTCACGCTGGCAACCGGTGAGGACCGAGGGAACGGCAGAACGCCACCCTGCAGGGGACTGGGGACACTATCTGTGAGCGGGCTTCTCCAGCCCACCGGCGTTCCCAAAGCCTCGCTTCCCTTTGTCCCTACCCCAGCGCCAAAGCCCGGGGCTGGGATAGCGGCGGCTCGGCGGAATTCTCCGGGGGAGGATTCATACCGGGTGTGCACTTTCCCGTTCATAGAATGAATCCACATCTATTACCTGATTTGCCCCTCTCAACAGTTCGCAGAAACAGGCACTGTTATGACCATTTTACAGATGAAAAGGGGGCTCAGAAGGGTTTGCTGTCTTGCCGCGTTTCATGTAATCCAGATTAGAGGTGTGTAGGGAGCCGGGGGAGGTAACGCAAGGGGTAGACTCCAAAAGATGAAAGAGGGGCCAGGCGCGGTGGCCCACGTCTGTAATCCCAGCACTTTGGGAGGTAGAGGCAGGAAGGTCGTTTGAGGCCAGGAGTTGGAGACCAGCCTGGGCAATATAGCTTGACTCCACCCGCCCTCCTTTCTTTCGGTCCCCACCGCCACAGGCATCCTGTGCCTCTTCCTTGGAGGGGCCGTGGTGAGTCTCCACTATGTTCGGGCCAGCGCTCTTCGCACTCTTCTGGACCAAAGCGCCGAGGACTGCAGCCAGGCGAGAGGGGGCTCACCTCTTATCCTCGGCGACCCACTGCAGAAGCAGGCCGGGCTCCCGGACTTAAAATATATCACCACTAACCTGTGAGAAGGAACCAATCTGGACACCTTCCCCGCCTTGGGACCTCGCAGGCCGGGAAGCAGTGCCCCCAGTTCTGGGCCAGGAGAGCTTCGGAAGGGGCACTAGGTGCTGCTGGCGCCGAGAGCCAGGGGCTAGGTCTCAGACATCCGCAGGCACCAGGAAAAGTCTCCTGGTGGGAGTTGTAAATAAACTTTTTTTTCTGTTTTGTTTTGTCCCCCCCCCCCCCATTAATTTCCACGGCTTCTGCGCTCCGAGGTCGTGGGAAGCACGCCCTCGGGAGCTTCGCAGAGCTGAGACAGCCTAGTACACTCTCCGCTGTGCTGGGAAACCGGATTCTCTGCGTCTAGACTCCAGAGTAATGCGGGCGCCCTCTAGTGAGGCCGGAGGGGGCCCTACAGGAGCCAGCATCTTCCCGAGCCACCCCAGGTGGACGTTAGGTGGTAGTCATGAGGCATGTCACCCACTCCCCGTACCTGGATCCCACTCAGATAGCCCAGCTGAGTGAGCTGGGAAGGAGTAGCGTTTTGGAATTGATTCACTAACTTCCCACCTGGCTTCTTGTGAGGTGGTGTCTGAGGGCCAAGGTAGGCATCAGCAAGGTATAGAAATATAAATCCTGAGATTCTTGGCAAGTCCTGCAATCTTATTAAGCAAACTTGGGAACCGAAGCTCAGAGAATGTGACATAGTCCATTAATGTTAGACCTGGACTGAGAAGTTTAGTTTCCTCTCCTTTCTGGTGCTGTCTTTCATTGTACCAAGAGGTCACACAGCTGGGGAAGTAAAGGAAGAACAACAGGAAAAAGGAAAACAAGAGGTGCGGAGGGAAGAGAGGGAACCATAGGAGAATCATATGTCCCCCCACCCCCCTGCTGGTGTTGTGGGGGTGAAGTAGGGTTTCAGTGAATAGCATCTTGAAGAGGCCAGGCATCATGCAAAGGCAGGGTTGCTGTGCAAAGAGGAGATAGCCCCTGCTTGGTCTTATCATGGCAACAAGCTTTATGGACAAGCCCATCTTCTCTTCAGTCCCTGAGGGCTTTTTGCTGTTGTTGTTGTTTTTTAACAGCAGTATGTAGAGCCTGCTTTTTCTACTCCATCTGTAGATTGGTGCTGGGAGTCTGGTACCAGCCACGCTGAGGGCAGTTCTATTGGTTTTATGGGATTCCAATGAGGTCCGAAGCCAGAATGGAAGTCCAGGCGGCCTCCAGGGGCAGGGGTGTTACAGGGCGCATTCAGGCTCTGTGAGGTGTGCCTCCTCACAGTGTGCCTTGGTGGAGGAAGCCTCTGACAGGGGGATGTCCTGGGGCTCTGGACTGTCAGCCATGGGCCTGTATCGGGGGCTCAGGAGTCCACCTTCTTCAGGACTCCACTCCAGCATGGGGTCTTCATCCACACTCTGGTTGAAGAAAGCCTTCAGCCTGTGAGGCTGCATCCTGTGGGCCACCACCATAGCCAGGCCCAGCAGCACACATAGCAGTCCTACAGATGAAGGCAACAGTTGTCTCACCTTAGTGAGAGCATCAGAACAGCTCTAAGGGAGGCCTGGAGGCCCTGCTTCAGGGCAACTTGAGCTCAGAGTGGTGATTGGCTGAGGGGCCTGTGGCTCCAACAACCCTGTTGTCCTGAATTTCCAGACTCCAAGCCCAGTGCTCCTTCTGTTATATCCCAGGAGAGAGAGAGAGAAAGGGGGAGAGAACTCTGAAAATAGGGAGAGGAAAGAAAAACCCTGGGGAAGGGCAGGGCACAGAGGAGGAGGCATCGAGAGGCACATGATGGGTAGACAGTGGAATCGGAGAGGAGAATAAAACTGCAGGAGAATTTAGGGCTGCGTAAGGCGGGACAGAGAAAGGTTTTAAGAATGGGGACACACAGAAGGGTATCTGGAAGAAGCAAGAGGGGATGGGGGTTGGAAGATTTTAGAAGCAGCTGGGTGAAGAGAGTTAGGGGATGAGAGACAGAGAAGACACAAGGAGGAGGGAGGGAAGTGGCACTGAGGAGAGAAAACCAGGAGATAAGAGATATAAGAGGGTGAGGCTTTGAAGAGGGTAAAGCCATCCTGGCCCCCAGGAACGGACCCTCAACTCTAACAACATCAGCTCTCAGGTCCTCCCTCCCTGGCCCTGAGCCTTCCAGCACTTGTCTTTACGGCTGGGTCTTACCTGTGGTCAATGTGATCCAGAAGGCAGGCCCATGGTGAGTGTGCAGCACAGAAGCGCCCAGGCGCAAGGGACAGGGTGGGGTGAGTGATGTGGCCATGGAGAAGAAGAGCAGAGCCAACAGCTGGAAGATGCCTGTGGCCAACAGCATGTGGCCACCATATACCAGCACAGGCATGGAGAGCATCACATTGGCCAGCAGCCAGCAAAGGAATGCCACCCTGGAGAGCCAGGACCCAGTGAGGACTGGCCTGGGTACCTCTACCTGCTAGTGAAGCTGGACAGGTCCAGATGTAGGCTCAGGGACCCAAGAGTGACCCAAAGATAGGAGGTAGGGATTCTTTCCCATGGACTTCCCAAGCCAGCACCATGGGGACTAGTGCCAGCCCGCCCCACCTGAGATACGCACATGAGTGGAGAAGAGATGGGTAGAAACCCTGTTCCTGAATCTAGGCTACCAGGGCCTCCACCCCATCCCCTTCCCATCCTCACCACAGCATGGCTGAGGCGTAGTGTCCTGCCAGGCGATACTGGTGGTACAGGCCACATGGGCTTCTTGGAGTGAACTTCTCGGCTAGGTACAGCACAGGGTCTGGCAGCCCCTTCTCCAGCGCCTTTGCATATTCCTCAGCATAGTTCTGGCCCAGGCGCCAGGCAAACTCCTCATTGTAATTGATGGTCTCATTCAGCTGCTGCACGGGGGTCCCTGGAGAACAAGGCAGCTGTGCTCTATAGGAACCCAAGGGCCAGAGTGGGGCCTAGGTAGGAACTCACCCACACAGGGCAGAGGGACAGGAAGTGGTCTCAACTGAGAGAAGGCAGCTTCCAAGGCCCTGAACTTCCCTTCCTACCATGCCTCCAACACCCACATATCCCCCCAGCCCCAGTGCCAGGCAACCTATAGCTCTTCGGACCACACCAAACATAGATCCCAAAGACAAGAGCCTTCCCCTCCCTCACAGGGAAGAGCCCTCCCTCACCTGTGAGTGTGATGTTGACTCCACTCAGTCCGACCTGCAGCCCAACATCAGCGCTGATCCACTCAGAACTGAAGGCCTTGTACGATGTGTTGGTGCTGACCTGGCCCACAGACCACTCAGAACTGAAATTCACAGCTGGGGTTGGGGAGTTGAACATATGGGAACTCAGAGAGGTTGTGGCATTACTAGGTTAGAGTCAGAAGAACTACAAGGCGTCTATGTCTGTTTTGGTCATAACTGGATACCTATTAACTAGCCAGGGTCTGGCTCAGGGTAAGTCTGCCAGCCATACGTGTGGGATTTCCCTTGGTCACACTCTTTACCTCTCCCTCTTCCCTCCCTTTCTCCCTGCTTTAGGGAGAGTTACTCAGGGAGCTGGGAAGGAAGCACAAACCTAAACCATGCTGGGCAAGGCAAACACAGATAGCTTGAACACAGAGACTTTCTTTTATTTTATTTTTTTTTGTTTTTAATTGGAGTCTTGCTCTGTCGCCCAGGCTGGAGTGCAACGGTGCAATATTGGCTCATTGCAACCTCTGTCTCCCGGGTACAAGCAATTCTCCTGCCTCAGCCTCCCAAGTATCTGGGATTACATGTGCCCATCACCATGCTCAGCTAATTTTTGTATTTTTAGTAGAGACGGATTTCCCCATGTTGGTCAGGCTGATCTTGAACTCCTGACCTCAGGTGATCCATCCGCCTCAGCCTCCCAAAGTGCTGAGATTATAGAAGTGAGCCACTGTGCCCCATCTCATAGGGATTATCATTTCTCCTATTTGCCTAATCACCAAGTCAAAACAGAGAGCCCTTCCCCATTTCCTCCCCTCCTCCCTGGAGTCCTCTCCCCACAGACATTCATTTTGACCTCCTTTCCCCACCCACCCCCAGCAATAAAAATGTTAGGAAGGTTGGGGAGATGCATCCAGCTTGTTTCCCAGAGTGATACCTCTTCAGGCCAAGGTAAGAGTAAGGGGTCAAGGCCATGGTGAGAGAGGCATATGGGCAGGATCTGGAAGCCACCCTGAAGCAGGGGCCCACCGCTGTGGGGAAACAAGGAGAGGAGAGGAAGGCTGCTGAGGGAGTTGATGGGATGGAGACAGCTGCCCAAGTCAGCTGCACTTCACACTCACCCAGGATCGCAGCCCCGATGAATAAGCTGGTCACCACCCGCAGCAGCCAAAACAGCCTCTGAGTGGCAAGGTGGGTGGGTTAAGTAAGGAGCGCCCTCCTTCCATGTTTGCCCTTCCTGTTTCCAGACTGGAGGGAGGGGTGGGAATTCTAAAGCTGAGATCACTTGGTCAGTTGAAATCAGAGTGTCTGGCATATAATAAGTGCTTATTTATTTATTTGAGACAGGATCTCTATTGCCCAGGCTGGAGTGCAGTGATGTGATCTCAAACCACTGTAGCCACTCAAGTGATCTTCCCACCCCAGCCTTCCAAGTAGCTGGGACTACAGATGCATATCACAAGGCACAGCTAATTGTTTTTTTTAGAGATGAGGTCTATAAACCCAGGCTGGTCTTGAACTCCTGGGCTCAAGCAATCCTTCCACTTTGGCCTCCCAAAGTGCTGGGATTACAGGCATCAGCCACCATGCCCCACCAGCATTCAATAATGAACTGTCGAATCAATGAATGAGGGGCTCTGTGCTTGGGGTGGTACTGATGCTTTCTTAGCACTGGGGTCTCCTTCCTGAGTCCGGTTGTAGTCAGAGACTCCGAACCCCTCAGCCTGAGGCTATGGTCTCTCTGGGCTGGGGGCTCCAGGACTGGGTTTCTCACCGTCTTGCCCCGAATGCCAGGCAGGATGATGATGAAAGTGGCCAGTGCAGTCAGAAAGATCATGACGATGGTGGCCGAAGTGGTGTCCATTGGGAAGGTTGGCTTGGGGCCAGCATAGAAGGGGAACGTGTGTCCCAAAGCAGCCATTTTGGTGGGGTTGTGCAGGGGAGGCAATGCTGTACAACAACAACAGACATATATTGTATGCCCTCAATGTACCTGGCACCGTTTTTGGTACTGGAGATATGGCACAGAATGAGCCAGACCAAGTCCTTCTTCTCTGGAGCTCACATTTTGTGCAGCATCGGCTATTACTGCTGTTCCACTGCCCCTCAGCCATCCATCTCCCCATCTTTTAGGTGACAGAATGAGGGTCTTTGCCATCAGTCTCTGTTGCCCATGCTCCTCTCCTAACCCCCAAGTTCCATAAATCAGTGCTACCACCACCCTTGAGGCTTCTCTGTTACTTCTGGGACTGTCTCAAGAAATATAATTCTCTTCTCTCTCCTTCAGGGCCCTAGCACAGATAGATCACAGAACATAAAAGGAACTATATTTACTATCAGGTGAAGACATAGGTGAAAGATGGTACAAATTACAAAAAGATTGACTTTCTTCCTCAGTCCCCGAAAAAACAAAGGCCAGGCAGCTCTCTGCTGAGTATATAATCCAGCCACATCCTCAGAGGATGTTGCAGACCTGGCACTGCCTACACAAGTCTGTCCAGCTTTCTCAAGCACCCTGGCTCTTGTTCTAGCAACTGCAGAACAGTTGAGCTTCACTGAGTTCACTTAACTAAGCACGGAAGGGGACCTGCCCTCTATCAGGCAGTGCTGGGGCCAGATGTCCTTCTCTTCCACACATTATCAACATTGGTCCTTCTCTCTGATTCAAATTCCCAGGCCAAGTTTTAGGCCAGATTCAAACCCTAGCTGTGGTCTTCTCTGCCCGTCCCTTGATTTCAGAACTTGTTTGACTCTTATTTGTTCCTTTGCAGACAGGATATTGGGAAAATGGTAGCTGAACTTACTGTGTTTAGTCAAATATCAGAACCGATTGCAAGACACACTACTATTTTAGCACAAAGAAAGGGGAAAAGAAAGTCTTGCCAATTAAACCATGGCCACCATTCCTGGTGAGATATACCTAATTCCAGAGATGTCAAAATGTGAAAAAAAAAAAAAATGCGTCTTAGAGTCAATGATCCCAGTTTTCCTCATTTCCCGAAGTGTGATATGTACTGGGGTTTCAGTTTGCCCAGAAGGCTCCATAATTTAGTTTGACCACACATTGTCTTATAAAGAGTTATAGTGAAAGAATGAGCATGGGAGTCAAGCAGCTCCAAAGGGTCTGAATTCTGCCTCTGCCTCTTGCAAGTTACTTGATATCTACAGACACTCAGTTTTATTAAAACTTTGAGATAGCAATGTCTATCTTGTAAGTGTCATTGTGAAGATGAAATGAGATTGTGTATACAAAGTGCTAAGATAGTACTGGAAACAAGCTACCAAGTTGGGAAAGAGGGGACATTACATTGCTTATTACTCCATTTATCTCTTTCTCCAATCTTTCTTTTCTTAAGTAAATAAAAAAGGAGTACATTCAAATTTTTTATTAAGTTCTTAAGTTTTTTTGTCTTTTTGGTTTTTTTTTGGCAGAGTCTCACACTGTCACCCAGGCTGGAATGCAGTGGCACCATCTTGGTTCACTGCAACCTCCACCTTTCAGGATCAAGCAAATATCATGCCTCAGCCACCTGAGTAGCTGGGATTACAGGCACGCGCCATCACACCCGCTGATTTTTAAATTTTTTAGCAGAGACGGGGATTTGTCATGTTAGCCAGGCTAGTCTTGAACTCCTGACTTCAAGCAATCCACCCTCCTCAGCCTCCCAAAGTGCTACTAGAATTACATGCATGAACCACCATGTCCAGCCTCTCCAATCTTTCTTCAAGTGAACCCTGAGCTGGAATCCATTCTGGGTCTAGTTTCAGTTCTTTACTAACATTGGTCTGGTAAGCGACAACCTCCTGGGTCCTTGGTTTCCTCATCTATAAATCATTTCATAATCTCCAGGTCCCTTCTAGTTCTAACGCTGGGATTCTCCTAATATGCCCTAGCTCCCAGCCTTCCTCTCTCCTTCTAAGCTGGGCACCTTCTTGTGCTATCTCTGGGAGTAGCATGGTATCACGCAAAGAGACAGAAGGACAGACAGTTTTAACTTTAAATTTTGTCTTTTGTGCAAGTCACTTAACCCCTAAGTGTCAGTTTTAACATGAAGGTTTTTTGTTTGTTTGTTTTTTGATGGAGTCTTACTCTGTCACCCAGACTGAAGTGCAGTGGCACGATCTCGGCTCACTACAACCTCCACCTTCTGAGTTCAAGCGATTCTCCTGCCTCAGCCTCCATGGGAGATTACAGGCGTGTAACCCCCATACCCGGCTAATTTTCGTATTTTCCGTAGAGAGGGGGTTTTACCCATGTTAACTAGGCTGGTCTCGAACTCCTGACCTCAAGTGATCTGCCCACCTTGGCCTCCCAAAGTGCTGGGATTACAGGCATGAGCCACTGTGCCCGGCCTTGTTTTTTGCTTTTTCTTAACTACTCAACTCTCCCATCGCTGAGGAACAGGCATCTCTCTTCTCTCCCGTTCTGCAAATCCATCCTCCTGGGCTCTAGCCCATTCATGCCTGCCTTCTCCACCACCTTTATCATCAGTTGTCCCTCTTCCCTTCATAGTGTTCCAGCTTCATTTCCTCTGCTGGCTCTTTCTCTCAAGGGTACACTTAAATTTTTCCCACCTTAAGAACACACAGAAAAAGAACCTTCTCTCTGGATCTTCTTGGTCCCCTCCAGCTACCATTCTATTTTATTCTATTCCTTTCACAGTCAGGCTTTTGAAAAAACAGTGTATATTGATATTTCCACTGCCTTATCTCTTCAACCTATCACAATCTGACTTTTCCTCATCCCTGACTTCTCCATTAGGCCACTAAGTGTTAAATCCAAAGGGCAGTTTTCACTTTTCACCCTCCTTGACCTCTCTGTGGTATTTGACACTGGAGACCATGCCCCCTTTCTCCAAACTTTACCTCCTTGCACTTCCATCACACCATGTTCTCCAGGGGCTCCTGCTTTTGGCCATCTCTTTGTGGTTCCTCTACTAGTTCTTTTCCCTCCATGTTAAATGTTGATGCTCCCCATAAATCTGTCGTGGCTGTCTTCTTTCAGCAGTATTCAAGATTCCCTGAGCAAACTCGTCCATTCTCACGGTTGATGGTTCTCAAATGTCTTCAGATAGTACTCCTATCTGAGCTCCAAACTCAAAAGGGTCAGCCACCCTGTGGACATTTTCATTTGGATGTTCCCTTGATGCCTCAACTCTAACAGCCCCTCAAATGGAATTCATTGTCTCTATCCTGCTTTTTATTCTATTGTCTTTGTATGTTTGGCAATGTCACCACTGGGCAATCAACTAAGTCGGACACCTGGACCATCTTACCTCCTAAATACTTCTTGAAACTATCCATGTATTTCCTTTTCTACTGCCTCTGCTCTAACCCAGGCTCATCCTATCTTTTAGTTCCAGAATAATTTTTTTCTAAACAAACAAACAAAAAATATATATATTTTGAGACAGAGTTTCACTCTTGTTGCCCAGGCTGGAATGCAGTGGTGTGATATCGGCAATGGCAACCTCCGACTCCTGTGTTCAAGCGATTCTCCTGCCTCAGCCTCCCGAGTAGCTGGGATTATAGGCATGGACCACCATGCCTGGCCAATTTTGTATTTTTAGTAGAGACAGGGGTTTCTCCATGTTGGTCAGCTTGTCTCGAACTCCCAACCTCAGGTGATCCTCCTGCCTCAGCCTCCAAAAGTGCTGGGATTACAGGCTTGAGCCACCATGCCCAACCAGAATAATTTTTTTCTAATAAATAAATATGATCATTTTAATTCTCTGCTCTGGCTAAAATCTCATCTTCTTACTATCACATATAAAGTGCTTTATAACCTGGTCCTGCCTATACTCGCTCCACCTTTTGCCCAGCCTAATCTATAGCCATACTGAATGACTGGTCTCTCCCTCAATCTGACATGTTCTTTCAAGCCTTCAGTACCTTTGGATATGCTATTTCCTCTGCCTGGAATGCTCTCACTCTCTTGGCAGGCGCCTTTTCACCCTTCAAGTCTCAGCTTGTGTTACCTCCTCTGTGAAGTTTCCTCTGATGCCACTGAGCCAATGTGAGTTCCCACTTGGAACATTCTGATTACATTTTGAACATACCTTCCTGATAACAGTGATTACATTGAACTCTAATTGTCTGAACATCTGTCTCCCAATTAGACTGTAGTTTCCTTGAGGGCAGAGACTTCCTCTTTTCATCTTTGCATCCCCTGCCTGTAGAATATACTGATGAGGCTCTGGATCAAATGAATAATTATGAATGAGTGCCTCTCCCCACAGGTGGCTTCTTCTGATTTTGCACACAAGGGGGAGCTGTGCTCCCTCATTGCCCTGTACTATACTTATAATTCAGTATTAACTGAGTATTACCAGTACAGAGCAAAGGACTGGGCAAGAAGGGATTTGACTAACCCTGTCAACTATTCGTAATTCCTCAAAATTTTCAGAAAGTGTCTTCCAATACTTAAGGCCTCCAAGACTAACAAAGATCCAAACATGAATTTTCATGTTTGATTGAATCAGAATTATACATCTCAAACATAGCTGAAATGAGTAACTAAGAATTTGAGAATTAAATTATTTTGTAAAATTTGTGATAGTGATATTTATTTTAAAGCAGATGTTTACTGATCTAAGAATTTTTTATTTATGACATCTCGACTGAAGCTATTATATTTTTAAATAAAAGTCCATAGGAGGAAAGCCTATAAAACATAAAATATCTTGGCTAATAAGATAGGAAGGTAAAGCAAGGCTAACAGCAAGAACATATGTTCTATGTTGGAATTCAGAAAGAAGTATTTTTAATATACGTGAATAAGAGATAATATAATGTATTTCAGTCAGGGTTAAATATTATTCTCGCATTTGTTTTAAAGGGATGTTATAAAAAATTTACAAAAATGTCTCATCTCTATTAACATGTGCTTAAAAGAAACACTAACAAAAGGCTTTTTGTATTTTAAGTATACAAGAACAATGCTAACTTATTTCTAATTCTCCCAAATGTCATATTTATTGAAGATGACACAAGCAAAAAGACAGTTGGTAAATGAAATTTGCCTTTCTTAATTTCTTCTTGTTCAGTTTCATAATTTAGGTCTTCCTTAATTTGCAGTGCCTAATTTAAAGTTAATTTTTAATGACTCTGACACTAATTCGGTTTTCTTTTATTTATTTATTTATTTATTTGAGACAGAGTCTCGCTCTGTTGCCAGGCACCAGGTGGAGTGCAGTGGCGCGATCTCGGCTCACTGCAACCTCCGCCTCCCGGGTTCAAGCATTCTCCTGCCTCAGCCTCCCAAGTAGCTGAGGACTACAGGCACATGCCACCATGCCCAGCTAATTTTTGTATTTTTAGTAGAGACGAGGTTTCACCATGTTGGCCAGGATGACCTCGATCTCTTGACCTCATGATCCACCCGCTTTGGCCTCTCAAAGTGCTGAGATTACATGTGTGAGCCACGGCACCTGGCTTGGTTTCCATTATTGAGCTAACTGTATGAAGGGCTTCTGTATGAAGAGGTGGGACAGAAATGAGAGGGCCCCACACTCAGCAGTCCTGCTTTTCCTACAAGCTTGTATTTCCCTGAGGAACATCTTTCTTCTTGGCTTGTCAAGTAGCATCTCACAGTAGAATTAGTTTTAATGTGATAAAATCACATATCAATATTAACTTGACCCACTTCTCCCCTACCTCACCACCATGACTAGGATATATGCACAGTGTACATTGATGTAAATAAGCCGACACAAGATACAGTCAAACATATACCTACAAATGTAGATAAACAGAGACAAAGACACAAGAACCACCCAGACTCTGTTATTCTCAGTAATATACACACCTGTGTTATTTCATCAGAGGCCCTTGTGACAAAATTGGATTGCTTTCTCATGGGGCGAGGGGAGACTCCCATACTTTGGGGTCCTCCTTTCTCACCTGGCCTAGGGAGGAAGAGGCACCATTCTCCCTTTCTGGGCTCCCTATATGTACCGAAGACTTTTCTCATGCTCAGTCTTGTTACAGATACAGTTACCCAATCCTTACCTGCCACAGATTGGAGTTCCTATGTGTGTATGAGGGGTGGGTAAAACATAAAGTTACAATCTTTAAGAAAACTCAGCCTAGAACAAACTCCAGCCTTCATCATTCAAAGTTATGTGCTGATGTCCTGTGGCCTCTCTTGTAGCTTGACAGGACTCTCTTCCTGAAGTCTTCTCCCTGCCCACCTCCCCCATCTGCTGGAACCCATAGAGTAAGGACCACTAATTCTCTACAAGATGGGAGTGGGTGACAGGGCTGGAGTTGCCAAGACCTCTGCCTGGTAATGCACAGCTACTGGAATGTGATGCTTTTTTCTCTGGTTGGGGTAGACCCCATTAAAAGTTTACAGCTGTGGTTAGCTAAGGGGACCCTGTCAGAAACTCCTGTCCTAGGCTCTCCTCTTCAAGGAAGGGGTCTGAGTGTCTGTGTGTCTGTGTATGGATGTATATGTGTGATGTTGCACAGCAATAGGATTTATGTGGAGAAATGGAACAGGATCTGAAAGTGGATTGGGGGCAGGATTCCCCAGTAAGGGCTGATATGGGTAAGGAGTTCGAGGGTGTAGAATCATGCAAGGCAAACTGCCTAGACTCCAGTTAAACTGGGATGAGGACTCGATGTCTGTAAACCTTGTGGCATTTATGGCTTTAAGAGGTTTTCCTTGCCTCCCCAATTTCTTACCAAACACTTTCTTTGAAGAGCTCCCATTTGATCTGAACTTGGTCTGGATGAAAGCAGAAGGTACAGCCCTAGGTGCCTGGGTGAAAGCAAGCACTTCAAGACCCCCTTCAAAATCACCTGGACCGCACAGACCTAAGGAGCCGCATCCTCCACCACCCACACCTGGACCATAGTTCCCTACCTTCGCCTCTTCCAAACAGTGCGTGTGTGGCAGCCCAGGTCTCTCGCCTTCCCCCTTGGAACCTCACACAAAGCGCCCCGGGGGGTGTGAGTAGAGGGAACTAGGTCCCAACGTTCTGTGAACAAACGCGAGCCCTTACTCTCTGTGGGGCTCCCGTCCGACCCCCACTCGTCTCGTAACTCAAGTAAGGACCCGGCTGTAACCGGACAAACCGGATCTGGGGTGCTTCCAGTCATTCCTCAAGTCACTCCCAAACTTCTCAGTCTGCACCCGAGACTCCGCAGCGCAGCCTACCACTCCCGGCCTCGGACAGAGACGAGCTGGGTGCGCCAGGACCATAGTACCGGGGTCTGCCCGCTCCGCAGCGGTCCCCCCAATCCCCCCTCCTCCTCTGCGCCCCCCACCCATGCCCAGCATCCCCAGCAGCTCCAGCGCAAACCTAGCGATGCTGTTCCGGGTCTGGCAGGGCATGGGCGCGGCTCGCAGGGCGGTGGGACCCCCGAGATCTCACGAGGATCCCCGGAGGGAGACGTGACCCCAGGCTCTCAGAGGGGTTTAGGTCGGATGAGTGACTTGCTTTGACGCCTGGCCTGGTCTGTGGGCGGCAGGTGATCAATGGTCTTGGACACCGAGCCCAAACCCGACGGTGCCCAGAGGATTCGAGGAGAGTCTCCCCTCCCCACACCCTCTCCGCCTCCCCGCCTCTCCCCAGCCCCGTGGGACTTGTGGAGGCGGACTTGCGCTTTTCGCCGTCCATACGACCGCGCTAGCCCTGCCCTCGAAACCGACGGTGCATCTCTACCTGCGCCCCGCGAGCCCTCGCCGTCTCACCTTGCGCACTGCGGTCGCCTGAAGCACCTCAGCCGGTCCCCCAGCTCCAGCCTCCATCCCGCCCCACTGCGCCCCGCCCCGCTGCTGAGCCGGGCCGCGCCGTCCCCTCCTCACCCCCAGCCCCGCCCGTCCCGGCGCAGAGCTGGAGAGGCACCGGACGCGAGCGGGCTCCGAGGGCACAGCTGGAAGCCAGGCCAGAGCCAAGCTGCAGTCCGGGGCTCAGGTGACTCCGTAGCCGCAGGTCAGATCGGGGAGGGCTTTTCCCAGCCCGCGGGCCGGGGCGCTCCGAGGTAGGGAGCTCTAAGTGCAGGGTGGCGAGGGAGCGGCCACTCGGCCACGTTATTATTGAAGGAAGGGAAATACTAGCCCCCTACTCTTCGGATCTTATCCTAAGGCTAAAATAGGCCCTGTTAGGGCTGTCCTCTGCCCAGTCAAGGTTTTGAGAGAGACTGGGTTCTTCGGGACCTGGGAATGTTGGGTGGCCCAGTTTGCCTGGGCCTAAGGATTCTTCTCCTGGCACCAGTCCAACATACCAGGGAGGAAGCTTTGGGGTTTAGGATCCAAGCTTCCCCCGTCAGCCCTCCCAGGTTGGAATCCATGACCTTGACCCATCTTCCTCACACCTCAGGGCCAACAGGGTCACCACTCTAGAGCTTCAGGCTGCAAAAGCGGCCATGTGGGGCAAGAACAGGCAGGCCTGTGTTCTCTCTCTGGTTCTGCCGCTGGCTCTGTCTGGGGCTTCATCGCTCTGTCCTGGGGTTGTGCCTTCCTTTCAAGGTTGTTGAGAAGTTACTGCCCCATGTCATTGTGTAAATTATTAAAGGCAACCCATCCACAAGGAGTGGTTATTAAGCATGTCCACCTTCCTCTTCAGGTCATCCCACACAGCCTGGCCTGAAAGGGCACTTCATGCCCTTAGGGGCTGAGTCGTACATTAGCATTTGGGTCAAGGATCCTGAAGACATGGTTGGAGGGGGTGAAGGGCCAGGACATCTTGGGATCAGGGAAGGATCCCTGCGGGTACTTCATATATCCAGATTTACAGCTTCAACCATTCAGAGCCAGCTCTTCACGCACTATTAAAGGCCAGCACCTGGACAGACTCTGTGGAACACAGCAGGTGGAATACTGAGCTTTCCAGTTAGGGCAGGGCCTAGGTTTTTTCATTTGTTTAGTAGGGATGGAATGGGGATGAGGTCACTCCCTGGGTTCTCTCCTCTAGACAACCCATTCAGGAGCCCTGGTATCTGGCTGGGGATGAGGCTTTCCCTGAGCTCCTTCCTTCCTCTATCCTATCTCCAATCTCCACGTTGCCTTTAGGAAGTCTTCACTGGCTTTGGGTACTCCTTGCATCACTCAGGAGTCACAGCCTGAGTCCTCTGCTGCCTCTGTTTCCCTGTTGACTCTGGGTGGAGAGAGCAGGAAGCCTGCACTAAACACATAAGCGCCTGGTACTGCATCCCTTCTGGATCCAACCAAAAGCGTCAGTCTCCCACCTACCCTCTCTGTAGCACATTTGCATAACACCTGTCACTTTTCTTGCTTTGAATTCAACTTCATTCTCACATCTGATTCTGGCAACCATGCTGGGAAGTAAACAGTTCAGGCATATTTGCTCCCATAGCTGGAAGAAGAAACCAAGGATCAGACTGGAGAAGTGATTTATCTAAGATCCCACCGTGGACTGGCAGCAGCACTGAGACCTCAGCCGTCTCCTGATCCCCAAGAAAGGCTCCGTCCAAGGAACACACTGCAAGAAGCTGGGCCAAAGCAAGGTTTTCCAACTAATTTTAGAAGACAAAGTCCCTGAAGGTATGTACCAGGGATTTCTGTTTGTTTTGTTCATTACTTAATCTCCAGTGTCTAGGTCAGTGCCTGGTACATAAAGGGTGCTCATCAAGTATTTGCTGAGTGAATTAAAGAATCTTGGGAAAGAGTGAGTCTCTTGAACTACCTACTGTGACCTTGGCCCAGCCCCAGGCCTTGATTCATAGAGTCCTGCAGAGGTCTTGACCTGATTCTTCTTCTAAGCAGCTAGGGCTCATTTTCTGTCCTGTCTTTTTTTAGGGTCTCCATTTTGGGACATTCTAATCCCTGAGCCCCTATTATTTTCATCATGGGCTTCTGCCTGGCTCTAGCATGGACACTTCTGGTTGGGCCATGGACCCCTGTGGGTGAGTACGGATTGGAGAAGAAGCACGGTTAAAAGCAGAGGAACCCAGCATCCTCTGGGCTCCCCCGAAGACAGGATCCATGTGATGTTCATCTGTATCCTTAGTCTTTAGTTGGCACAGTGCCCTGCATGTGAGAGTTGCTCATTTCTAGCTCTTGAAGAAATGGATGGAAAATGGAATGAAAATTATCCCCAAATGCACAGAATTAGGGAGCCTTTAATTTCCACGTCAGCACTTCCTATTTTATTCCTTACAGTTTGGGGGCCCTTTCTTTCTCCACTATCTTCTCTTGTTTCCCATAAAGTCAAGGCCTATGACTCAAAATAGGAAAAGATTGATTAGATACACAAGACAATAAAGCATCTTGGGGTCAGATTAGACCCAAAGCTGAAGGGGAGTCATCAATATTTTTAAACATTATGATCAAAAACAAAAGCAATACCTTCCACAAGAGTTTCATGTTGCCATCTTCAGTGGACAGCTTCTTACTGGAATCTGAGACTGTTCTCCGTAGTCTGGACCTCTGTGGAGGGAAGTGGGCTTGCATTGCCACAAGTTAAAAAGTGCTCTTTAAAAGAGCAAGTCCTTGATAACTTGGGATGGGAGATGCAAAAGCAGAAGGCAGAGAAAACCTGTAAAAGGATCTGTCCTGGCTGGAGGTGGCAGGATCGTGACACATTCCCGACAGCTCCTCCCTTGCCAGAGCTGCTCACATTCATGTTCCTTCCAGCCCTCTTCTTTCCTTGGCTTTGGATTTTCCTTTTCTCCTCCAGCTCTGACTTTTTATCTCTAAGAGACACTTACCCTGTACCGTCCTACAAAGGCTCACTCCTTTATGTGCCACAGGTTCATCTTATTTTAGATATCACATGTATGGCCCTGCCCCAAATCTTGGACCCTTAGCTGGGTTCTTTGCTCAAACATCAGGCGCTGAGTCATTTTTCCCCCAGCTCCCTGCTGAGTGAGTGTGCAAATGTGTGTGTCTGTTCTCTGAGGTGAGCAGAGAGGAAGCCCCAAACCTATAGACTCCTAGTCTTGGGGAAACAATCAGGCTGGCCATCTGATCTACTGATCAGAAAGATCCCTGCTCCATCCCTGATTCCATTTTTCATTCTGGATTTTCCCTCCATTCCTCATTCCTTAGTTCTTTCCCCAGAGGCTGAGTGCTCCCTCCTGGACCCTCATTTTGGAGAGTATGAAAGGATCAAGAGGAGGAATTGTTTGGGGACAAGATGCCCCAGAGAAGGGGCAAGGTTATCCACATCACCAGTCTGGTCCCCGGTCCTACTTAAGAAACTGGGGAAAAAAGCAGTAGCAACACCACACCCCTGCCCTGGGATCTGCTCAGCCAGAGAGGACTAGGTCCCTCACCACACTGACCCTGCCCAGGGATGGGTCACAGAATGATGTGTCCTTCTCAGGTATGGAGTGTGGCTGGCTCTTGCTGTGTGTGGCGTCTTAGGGCTGGGGATGGATTCTGTCCTGTTTTGTCCTCCCAGGGAGCTGAAGTTTGAAGGGAGTTGAAGTACCCTGTATCCTCTTACCCATCGCCACTGCTCTCCTCCAGCCCCCCTTCCTCTCTGAGGCCATCTGTCAGCACATACTGCTCCCTGCTATACTGCTTTTTGGCTCCCTGCCACGTCTCCCCCACTGAGCAGCTTAAAGATCTGGCTTGAGTTTGGAAACTGCTTTGCCCGGTTTTTCCCTCTGCATCCTACCTCTCACATCCACTCCAGGTATCCACTTTCCATTGCTCCAAGTGCCAGGCTCACAGCACCCATTTCCGGCAGGCCTGCCTGTCCTCTCATGCACTGACTTGCCCAGCTGCCCCTTCCCTCCATTCTCACACAGGCGCTCAGAACCCCATTTCATGGGAGGTGCAGCGATTTGATGGGTGGTACAATAACCTCATGGAGCACAGATGGGGCAGCAAAGGTAAGTGAGAGCCAAGTGAGGACAGAGCCCCGGGGCCAGGGTGGACTGACTGCTGCGGGGCAAGAGCTGGCAGGTACCAGCAAAGGCCATCCATTTCCAAGGTTTTAGATTCCATGGCATGGTGGGAAGCCTGGGAGAGAGGGGGTCAAGAATGCCCACTGAAGATTCATCCTTATCCTTACTCCTTCTACCCCAGGCTCCCGGCTGCAGCGCCTGGTCCCAGCCAGCTATGCAGATGGCGTGTACCAGCCCTTGGGAGAACCCCACCTGCCCAACCCCCGAGACCTTAGCAACACCATCTCAAGGGGCCCTGCAGGGCTGGCCTCCCTGAGAAACCGCACAGTGTTGGGGGTCTTTTTTGGTGAGAACTTCAACCTCTGGGGGAAGAAAGCTGGTGGGGTCAGCTGGACACCTCTGCATATGAAGAGGGGTGATGGAGGGCCTAAGGGATGAGGGCGAGAGGTGGAGGAGGCAGTGGGGCTTGGTAGGGGTAGAATCAGGTGCAGGGAGGATCCATGCTGAAGTGAAGTCTGGTTGGGGAGGCAGAAATCTTTCCCATGCAGAAAGATGAGGGTGGGATTAGGGAAAATAAGCATCCCTCCACGTTGTGTTGTTGGTGTAGGTAAAGGCGTGGCAGACCCAGAAACATGAAAATAATCTGGGAGGGACTCTCTGGGGGGCCCTGTTCTTAGGCTTTGCCCCATGGCTTCTAGAACAGGCTTAGGGCAGGACTCTGATTCTGGCAGAGTGGACTGAGGGGCAGTCAAAAGGGGGTGCTATGGTGGCCTGACCCCAGTGACTGAGGATTGGTGGCTGGCCCATAGGGAATGCGTGGCTCCTGCTGCATGTTGGAGCTGGTGCTGCCACCCCGTTTGCCTAGGAACACTCACAGGGCACCTCCCAGTTACCAAGGAGAAAGCCAAACTGTCAAGACAAAAGCTTGGACCAGGTGTAGGCACAGAAGGGCAGAAGAGACAAAGGACTGGGAGGGAGTGTCTGAGGTCAAGGCTTGGACTTGTCTATAATGGCTGCTGAGTTTTTTGAAGCTTCAGGGGAGGGAGAGAGACTGGATACCTAGGGTAGGAAGGAAAGTGGCCCTCCCTGGCCCTAGCACTCTCTCCTGCTTTGCCGGCAGGCTATCACTTGCTTTCGGACCTGCTGAGCGTGGAAACGCCCGGTTGCCCCGCCGAGTTCCTCAACATCCGCATCCCGCCCGGAGACCCCGTGTTCGACCCCGACCAGCGTGGGGACGTGGTGCTGCCCTTCCAGAGGAGCCGCTGGGACCCAGAGACCGGACGCAGCCCCAGCAACCCCCGGGACCTGGTGAGCCAGGGGAGGCGGCAGGAAGGGGCTGCACCCCAGGCAGGTGGGGCCCGGGCTGCAGGCCTGGAAGGGCCTGGCAGGGAGAGGCGCTCACTCCCCAGCCCCGGACACCCCCTGGGCCCCCCGGCCTTCCCTGGCCCGCCGCCGCCCCCACGACCCCCGCTCACCCGCCGCTTGCCCCGCAGACCAACCAGGTGACGGGCTGGCTGGACGGCAGCGCCATCTATGGCTCCTCTCACTCCTGGAACGACGCGCTGCGGAGCTTCTCTGGGGGACAGCTGGCGTCGGGGCCCGACCCTGCCTTCCCCAGAGACTCGCAGAACCCCCTGCTCATGTGGGCTGCGCCCGACCCCGCCACCGGGCAGAGCGGGCCCCGGGGGCTGTACGGTGAGGCCGCGAGGGCGAGACGGGGCCGGCTGGGGGTCTGCGAGTGTGGGCTCCCGGGGTCACGCTACGGCTCATCTCCCCCCTTGCGCCCCCACGTCGGATGCAGCCTTCGGGGCGGAGCGAGGGAACCGGGAGCCCTTCCTGCAGGCGCTGGGCCTGCTCTGGTTCCGCTACCACAACCTGTGCGCGCAGAGGCTGGCCCGCCAGCACCCAGACTGGGGGGACGAGGAGCTGTTCCAGCACGCGCGCAAGAGGGTCATCGCCACCTACCAGGTCAGCCGTCCCCGCCCTGCGACGTCCCCGCTTCCGCGTGCAGGCCCACCGGAGACTCCGCTGCCCACGGAGCTCCCCATCCGTGGACAACGTTCACCCAGAAACCCCTTCCCAGACAGCCGAGGTCTAGGGAAGCTCCTGTAAATGATAGGGAGGCACGCGCTGTTTATAGGTGAAATCTGGCTGGCGACGATTATTTATCACCTCCCCACCCCCACTGCCCCAAATGCCCTAGTTCCTTGCGGGGACAGGCCTCACGCCGCTCCTGTTTGAGTCGTTTCTCCCATGACTGCCCCTGCCTGGTCCTTATCTCCACATGGAAGCAGTCCTTGGGCTCAGACCCTTCCAGGCCCCGCCTGGTCCAACTCGCGCCTCCCCTCGCCCCTCTCTGCCCCTCAGAACATCGCTGTGTATGAGTGGCTGCCCAGCTTCCTGCAGAAAACACTCCCGGAGTATACAGGTGAGGGAGTGAGGAAGGAGGATAGGAGGGCTTGCGTGAGAGTGTTTTGCGGCGTGGAGTGTAGAGTATGTTGGGGATTTAAGGGTAAATTTTTCCCTCCTTTCTTCTCCTATTCCCCAGGATACCGGCCATTTCTGGACCCCAGCATCTCCTCCGAGTTCGTGGCGGCCTCTGAGCAGTTCCTCTCTACCATGGTGCCCCCTGGCGTCTACATGAGGTGAGGGAGGGGCTCAAAGGTTTGTGTGCTGGGAGGGATGGGACTGTCAATTGTGCAAAATCTGCCCTCAGGAGCCCACTGTACAGGATTATGTACAGTGTGCCCATTCCCCAAGGGATCGATGAATAGAGAGGGGAAGGAAAACAATTGTTTTAAAAGATACATCACTGTGGTTTTTAAGTACTTTTATTGCAGTCTTCCTGCAGCTGGCACAGCGATTAACCACCCACCCACCCGCCCATTAAACATAGAGTAATAAAGGTTCAGAGGGGGTCACAAAGCCCTCATGTCTTGACACTACACTGGGGACATTTTTAGCTATAACCACAGGACTCAGAGCCTGCAGACTTTTAGGGGCAGAGAATTCTAAAATGTTTGCAATCTGAAGGAAAATATTGGCTTCAAAATAATGAAAAGGGAATTTTAAAAATAAAAAGACACAGGCCTAGCGATGTGGCTCACGCCTGTAATCCCAGCACTTTGGGAGGCCAACGCAGCCGGATCATGAGGTCAAGAGACAGAGACCATCTTGGCCAACATGGTGAAACCCCATCACTACTAAAAATACAAAAATTAACCAGGTGTGGTGGCATGCCCCTGTAGTCCCAGCTACTCGGGAGGCTGAGGCAGGAGAATCACTTGAACACAGGAGGTGGAGGTTGCTTGAGCCGAGATCATGTCACTACACTCCAGCCTGGGTGACAGAGCAAGACTCTGTCTCAAAGAAAAAAAAAAAGAATGATATATATACACATATATTGTATATATAACTGTGTGTATATATATTTTATATATATATGTGTGTATATACATATATTGTGAGAGAGTCAGAGAGAGTGTGTGTGTTAATGTTTTAGATATTTGGTCTGATGTTGTGGAAGGGACCTTCCAAAAGTGAGATCCTCCAGGACATACTAAGGTCAGAACCACATGCCACCTCTGATAGGCAGTGGCCTGGGGCCCCTGGCTACCACCTCAGAGACCAGAGCTGATGCCTGACATTATAACCCCATTACTCAGTCACCATCTCCCTGCTCCTTGCATTTCAGAAATGCCAGCTGCCACTTCCAGGGGGTCATCAATCGGAACTCAAGTGTCTCCAGAGCTCTCCGGGTCTGCAACAGCTACTGGAGCCGTGAGGTCTGAGCAGGGGGCCACAGATGTGGGTGGATTTGTGTGTGTGCACACACACGCTCATGGTGAAAGTGGGCAGTAAGCCTGAGGCAGGCAGCTGGGATGGGCTAGGGTGAAGGAGGCAGCCTGGAGGACCTCAGGCATCTCCCCTCCAAAGTCTGAGGTGACCAGGTACCTGGACATGGCCAAAAGCCACCCACCACCCCCACCTCAGGGCTGTGGGAGGGCTGGCAGGGCCTGTGCAGGTGTGGTTCTGCATTCATTGCTCCCTCCCACCTTTTCCCTCTCCCTTGACAGCTCTAGGTGTCCTATAGGTCTTGGAGTACTCCAGCTAGTCTCACTTGCCCCAGGGAAACTTCCCATTAGACAAAAACCCCTGGCAGTGTGTGAATGTGTATGTGTGAGGGAGGCGGGGAGGAAGCAGGGGTTCTTAGACATTAGAGGGGATTGTCCATCCATCCAAACCAGGCCAGCATGGGTGAAGAACATTGATCATTAATTTAAAGCAAAATGAGATACTTTGTGTAAAGTGTTTGCTGAGGGGAAGGGAGTGGGGAGAAAGAGAAAAGAAGCCATGGAATCAGAGCCCTGGAGCTGAATCAAAAGAGGCCTCAGTGTCCCCCTCATCAGAGTCCCTTTTTATTAAGGGAAATAAACTGAGTTCAGAGCGGGCCTGTGACCTGCCCAAGTTCATACAGCTGGTTACTAACAAAGGACCAAGACCTAGATCTTCCAATGCCTTTGCCAACCACATTGTCAAATATGCCAAGGTAGAAGGAAAATATTAAGATCCCTTGTGTTTGTACAGACCTCTGTCAGGCAGCATGGACTTTGGATGGGGACATCCCTCATCCTGAGTGGGGAATCAAACTGTAGAGGAGGAATGTCCCACTGGTTTGGGAGCAAACAGCAGGACTGGGTGGGCTCAGGGATAAGGATGATGATGTGGAGGGAGCCTGGCTGTCTAACCTATGACCCCATTAACCACACCCCTCTCCTCCCCACCCCCAACCTATAAAGCACCCAAGCCTACAAAGTGCTGAAGATGTAGATGCACTGCTGCTGGGCATGACCTCCCAGATTGCAGAGCGAGAGGACCATGTGGTGGTTGAAGATGTGCGGGGTGAGTCTGAGGCTGTCCCTGCAGGATGTGAACTCCTGGCCTCTGGGAAGAGGCTCAACTGGACCTCCAGAGCCAGGCATGAAGGGATGCCTGGGGCTGGGAGCCTGCACTGCACTCACTGCTTCTGATCTGCTGACCATGGCTCCTTCTGGTTCAAGTTCCCTGGGGCTGGTTGGAGCCTGGGGCCTGGACTGGAGACTGCTGTGGTGGCCCTTAGCTCCCTCACACTCTCTGGTATCTCATCTCCAGATTTCTGGCCTGGGCCACTGAAGTTTTCCCGCACAGACCACCTGGCCAGCTGCCTGCAGCGGGGCAGAGATCTGGGCCTGCCCTCTTACAACAAGGCCAGGGCAGCGCTGGGCCTGCCTCCCATTACCCGCTGGCAGGACATCAACACTGCACTCTCCTGGAGTGATGACACTGTGAGGAGGGGTCAAGACTCAGAGGGTAGGGTGGGAAGAACGAGGCACATGGGCCTGAGATATGGATGATGAGCAGTGAAACTTGAATACCAGAGACAAGCACCAAAATGGGAGGGGGAGGGCTTACCCAGATCACTTTTCCCAGTATTACATATCAAGATGAAGATTACCAGACCAGCAAGATTTGGCTTTGCACTCTGATTATTCAGATCCAGCAAGCATGTATTGAGCATATATTGTGTGACAGGCACTTGATAGGCATTATCTCATTTACTATTCTCTCCACCCTCCTGAGTGGATATAGAAGGTCCTTGACTTAGGAACAAGCTGTGCTTTCTTGCATGTTAAAGCTGCCTTTCAGGAATCAGCTATTACAACGTGAGCTATCACCTGGACTGGTGGCATGCCTGCTAGCCAAGAGACCAGATTGGGTGACCTTATCATCTTGACACAGCAGTGTTTCTATAATTGTGTGCCTATTTTGTTGCCTTTTGCCCTTACTGATTTTTTTTTTTTTCCTGAGACTGAGTCTCACTCACTCTGTCACCAGGCTGGAATGCAGTGGCATGATCTCAGCTTACTGCGATCTCCACCTCCCGGGCTCAAGCGGTTCTCCTGCCTCAGCCTCCCGAGTAGCTGAGACTACAGGCACATGCCACCACACCCAGATAATTTTTGTATGTTTAGTAGAGACAGGGTTTTACCATGTTGGCCAGAATGGTCTCGAACTCTTGACCTCATGATCTGCCTGCCTCGGTCTCCCAAAGTGCTGGGATTACAGGGCTGAGCCACTGCACCCGACGTGCCCTTAGTATTTTATAGAATTATTGGAAAGTGGAGATTTGAAAGGCCAATAAAGAAGTTATATGAGCATGGGGGCTCATAAACTTTATAAACTCAATATATAGCTAGGACTCACCAGGCACACCAAAAGTAGCAAATCTTTAGCTTCAAATGGGCCTCAGTGGAATTAAGCTGGTTCAAGTGCTATTTACATTGTAGAGGAAAAAACTAAAGTAAAGGTCAGGTAGAAAATACTGGTGATATGTTTTTGAAAACTCTCTAAAAGGTAATATATAATCAGGCATTTGATTAAAAAATGTTTAACTCTAAAGAAGAAACTTTTTATAAGACTTCATTCTACTATTCTACTTTTGCACATTCTGATTTTGTCCCTTCAACTTTCATACCTTTTCAAGAACAAGTTATGAAGGGGATTGGCTGGCTGTTTTATAACTTTGTTAAACTAGGCAGTTGAATGTGTGACAGGGTTCCCATAAATGGCATTCACTTTTGTAAAGCACTCAGAACAGTGCCTGGGGCATAATAAGCACTATATATGAGTGAGTTACTGTTACTGTCATTTATTATCATCATTCCCAGGGTGAATCCCTGGGAGCCATCTCTTTGCCTGAGGGTGGGTGCCAGGTCCTTTCTCTTACTCTTGCCCCATCTTGGTTCCAGGTACTGGAGGCCACAGCCTCCCTGTACAACCAGGACTTGTCCTGGCTAGAGCTGCTCCCGGGGGGACTCCTGGAGAGCCATGGGGACCCCGGGCCCCTGTTCAGCACTATTGTCCTCGACCAGTTTGTGCGGCTGCGGGATGGTGACCGCTACTGGTTTGAGAACACCAGGAATGGGTAAGGCCTGCTGGGCCTCCACCTCAGTCTCTACCTTGGCCTGGGCCCCAGATCTTCTGCCTGGCCTTAAGACAGCTCCCATGAGCCCTTGATTCCAAGCCAGCTCACCACCCACTTCCAAACCCCTCTGGGGCTCTTTTCTTACTGGGTCCTTGGGCCTGGGGTTGCTGGAGGCCTGCATCCCCTTTCCATCCCAGTGACTTCTACTTCCTCCATCTTAGGCTGTTCTCCAAGAAGGAGATTGAAGAAATCCGAAATACCACCCTGCGGGACGTGCTGGCTGCTGTTATCAACGTTGACCCCAGTGCTCTGCAGCCCAATGTCTTTGTCTGGCATAAAGGTAAGTGGCCAAGGGGTGGCTGGGGGAGTGGTGGGTCTGGAACCTCGTCCCTCTTGAGCTCTGGGCTCAGCTCAATGTGGCTGAATGGCTACCTCTGTGCTCCAAGAGGGGCGTGAGCTATAGTTCTGCCCTTGGGAACTCCAGGTGCCAGGGCTGCCACTTGCAGCTCTGTAGGATCCCCTCTGCACAACTGCAGGAGGTGCTGAGTGAGGGCAAAAAAACTGAGACCCAGAGAGAGCTGGTGAGGAGGTTTACATTTGGCTGCGATAGAGCTGAGGCTGGGTATAATATTAGGAGAGCTGAGTGCAGTAAGGATATCCCAACCCCACAGCAGTGAGGTACACACTGGTGTATGTGTGTACACGTGTGTGTGAGGGACAGACAGAGGTTGGGATTCATTTTATACTCCATTTGTTACCCAAAGAAGCACCTTCCCCTCAGCTACCCAGAGTGCCCCACCCACTTTCTGCCACCCTAACCTCCTCAGTGATCCTGTGCCAGCACCTGTGGCCCAGCACCCAGGACTCTGGCTTCCTCTTCCTCCCCAGGAGACCCCTGTCCACAGCCGAGACAGCTCAGCACTGAAGGCCTGCCAGCCTGTGCTCCCTCCATCGTCCGTGACTATTTTGAGGGCAGTGGATTTGGCTTCGGCGTCACCATCGGGACCCTCTGCTGCTTTCCTTTAGGTAAAATGATGAACAGAGTGGGGCCAGGTGAGAGATGCAAGCTAGGGGATGCAGTTCAGGTGGTTCCAATAATGAAAACAAACCACACAGAGCACGTTCCTTCTGGGTAGGGGAAGAAAACATTAGAGGCGGAAGGGACAAGAGAAGTGTCTGGCCTGGAGAGAAATCAGCTCCAGGAGGAATTGCCTCCCTGTTCCCCTGGGACTCCCCCCACCCCCGCTGGGCCCAGCTTTGGTCAAGAGCCAGGGGGAATCTATAAACCACAGCTCTTTGCAAGCCTGGGCCTAGGGGACTGTCAGAGGCAAATCCCTGTTTAAGAACAAGGGCTGGGGCACATATAGTTGCTGGAGTGAGGGCTTGGGGCTTGGTCTTTGGCAACGCTGTGTGGGGGTCATCTAGCAACCTGGTGGGGTGAGTCTAGTCCCTGACACAAAGACTCTGGACTTAGCCTCTGGCTAGGAAGGGACACGAGGGTTGGAAACTGAGGAGGCAAGATGGGCATCTTAGATGCTACCCAAAGCTCCCCATGGGATGCAGAGCAGCTCCACCCAGGAAACTTCACAATTTGAAACAATTGAGCAAGCTGACCTAGGAGGTGGGGAGAATAGGGGGTATTGCCAGGAAAGGAGCTGAGAAAGGAGCCGCTTCCATCCCCCAGACCTCCACCTCTCCCCCTTCCCAGTGAGCCTGCTCAGTGCCTGGATTGTTGCCCGGCTCCGGATGAGAAATTTCAAGAGGCTCCAGGGCCAGGACTGCCAGAGCATCGTGTCTGAGAAGCTCGTGGGAGGCACGGAAGGTAGGCCTAGGGCTGGCCAGGATGGACGTAGGGAGGAAGTGGCTCAGTGCTACAGCCACCCATTGCCATCCCAGCAGCCTAAGGAAAAGGCCTCCCTTTTCTAGGACTGTAGGCAAGGCCGCAGTGGCATTAAGCAGAAGTTGGACCTGGAGTCCTGCAGCCTCCAGAGTTCCTAAGGTGCAGGAGTCATTGGACCCTGCCTAGATTGTACAGGGTTACTATGATTCACGAATCCCTGGGCACTGCTGATTTGTAGCCTATCACGCTGGAAGTCCAGGCAATAGAGAAGTGACTAATGAAGGTCCAGAGTCAGATTGGGATTGGAATCTTGGTTCCACCACCACTATGGGCTATTGGGCCTTAGGCAGATATTTAAATTTCTCTAAATATTTTTTCCTTATCTATAAAATAGAAATAATAATAGCACCTACCTCACAGATTTTAAATTAAATAAATTAGTTCATGCAGAGCACTTGGTATAGTATTGAACACATAGTAAACATTCAGGTAATGATAATTACTATTCTTTCCATGGGATTAGAGCCACACCCGGGCTTTCAGGGAGGGAATCACCCTCAGTACTCCAGAAGGGGACAATGAACTATGGAAGCCTTGATCTAAATTCAGCCCTGAGCTGGCCCTCTTCCTCCCAGTGTACCTCTGGCAGGTCCCAGCTGACGAAGCCCTGTCTCTCTGCCTCCAGCTTTGGAATGGCAAGGCCGCAAGGAGCCCTGCCGGCCAGTGCTGGTGCACCTGCAGCCCGGGCAGATCCGTGTGGTAGATGGCAGGCTCACTGTGCTCCGCACCATCCAGCTGCAGCCTCCACAGCAGATCAACCTCGTCCTGTCCAGCAACCGTGGACGCCGCACACTGCTGCTCAAGATCCCCAAGGAGTATGATCTGGTATGGCTCAGCTGGCATCTGGCTTCTTGTCCACAGCCAAGGCCAGGGAGGCAGCCAGGTGGAGGGGAAGGAGCACGGGGCCAGGAGGCAGGGAATGATAGTTATTGTGCAGGAGTCTGGCTTCTAGTACCTGATAGAGAGATAAACTTGGACACATTTATCCTGCTCTGGGCCTGCTGGTTGACATAATCTCCATGGTCTCCTCCTAACTCTTGCAACCACAATCTGCCTCCTCCTTTCCTAAGGACTACCTGTCAGATCCTAGCTGGGTGTCATTGCAAGAAGCAAAGCCCTCTTCCCTGTCCTTTTATCTCAGGAGGTAGTGAATTTTTTTGAGATTTTGGAGGAGAGCTAAATCAGAGGCCTGGCTCATGATCCCCTCCATCCTCTGGCCTGCCCAAACTCCTCTTCCTTCTCCAATGTGGAAGAGAGGGAAGAATGTCTTTGTATATGTGCCTTTACATGAAAACTCTACACCTATGAGCAAGTCACTTAACCCTACTGAGCCCCTTTCCTCTTCTGTAAAAGAAGATACATTATCTCTTTTTGAAGCCCCTCTGACATAATCCATGTAAAGTGCCTAACCTCAGGAGGCCTTGGCAAATGGTTGCTTTTCTTGGATTGCCGCCTTAGGTACTGCTGTTTAACTTGGAGGAAGAGCGGCAGGCGCTGGTGGAAAACCTCCGGGCAGCTCTGAAGGAGAGCGGGTTGAGCTTCCAGGAGTGGGAGCTGCGGGAGCAGGAGCTGATGAGGGCAGCTGTGACGCGGGAACAGCGGAGCCACCTCCTAGAGACCTTTTTCAGGCACCTTTTCTCCCAGGTGTGTACATGGGACCAGATCAGTCCTTATGCTGTGGTGGCGTCCTTACCTGCATGAGGCCATGGGGGTGACTCCAGAGGAAGTCGGAAGCCCAGAGTTCTCAGCTAATAATCAAGTCTACTGCAATTTCAGATGAATCACCAGACTTTATCATAAGGAGTTGCCTCTGTCCCCATCTGAACCCCACCTCCAACTACGAGGCTCTAGTCAGGGGATGCCCGGGAATGGGCTTCTCTGCATGCGTTGCTTATCGCTCTCTTCAGGGCTGCCTGTCCTCACTCAGCCTGCCCCAAAGGCTGCAGAGCCCCAGGGCAGTGTGGGCACCAAGAGAAATATTGTTCACCCCTCCTTGGGGGAGTGCAGCTGCCAGAGCCCTCCAAGGGGCACTGATGTCCACCTTGCAGACTTCTGAAAGTGACTGGGAGGGTGTAGGGAAACAAGACAAAAATGCAGAGACTTGAGTCCACAGCTGGCACAAAAATAAAGGCAGTCTGGGAGCAGGGTAGAAGAGTGGAGAAACATGGTATATAAAGATAAATACGGCCAGGCATGGTGGCTCATGCCTATAATCCTAGCACTTTAAGAGGCCGAGGCGGGTGGATCACCTTAGGTCAGAGGTTCGAGACCAGCCAAGCCAACATGGCAAAACCCCGTCTCTATTAAAAATACAAAAATTAAGGCCAGGTGAGGTGGCTCACGCCTGTAATCCCAGCACTTTGGGAGGCTGAGGCAGGTGGATCATGAGGTCAGGAGTTCAAGACCAGCCTGGCCAATATGGTGAAACCCTGTCTCTACTAAAATGCAAAACTTAGCCGGGCATGGTGGCAGGTGCCTGTAATCCCAGCTACTTGGGAGGCTGAGGCAAGAGAATAGCTTGAATCTGGGAGGCAGAGGTTGCAGCAAGCCGATACTGCACTACTGCACTCCAACCTGGCAACAGAGAGAGATTCCATCTCAAAAAAAAAAAGTACAAAAAGCCAGTTGTGGTGGCACGTGCCTATAATCCCATCTACTCAGGAGGCTGAGGCAGAAGAATCACTTGAACTTGGGAGGCAGAGGTTGCAGTGAGCGAAGATCATGCCACTGTACTCCAGCCTGGGAAACAGAGACTCTGTCTCAATTTCTTTAAAAAAGATAAATACAGCATGTTTCTCCCACTGAAGCAGCTTATCATTCCACTGGGAAGATGGGACATGCAAAGAAAGGAAGATAACTGGCAAAGAATGAGGGCTATAAAAGTGACTCAGGAAATCAATGATCAAGGAGCTCAGAGAAGACAGTGAGCCTTCAGTGTGCTGTAAAGTCATGATAGGTGACATTTGGCAAGGATTTAAAATTGGACACGTATTGGCTCAGAGGAAAGGGACAAGAGGGACTGAAAAGAGGGCCCCATAGAAGGGCAAAAAAATTGATGTTTGAGGAAAAACAGCAGGGTCATGTGGCTGGGGAGAGGATTCATGAGAGAAGCAACCATTGAAGGGACATGTACTCTGTGCCAGGAACATGACTTAAAGTCATTTGAGTCATGTTGAACTTGAACTTGAGTATGAACTAGAACAGAGGGACCCTCAGCTGGATGACTCCATGCCAGAGCCCAGGCAGGACTGGGCATCTCCACTCATTCAGGATCCATCGGGGCTATGGGAACTCCCTGTGCTGAGACATGAAGGGTGCTGACAGATACTGGGGGTGGCTTTCAGTCTCTCAAATCTGCACAGTGATTTCAGCATAACAACTTTTGTTGATTCTCACAATAAACCTGAGATAAGTAGGGTAGATGAGGAAATGAATCCCAGACAACTGAAGAGACTTGCCTGAGGTCATGCAGCAAGCAGGTGACAGAGTTGGGACATGAACCTGGGTCTCTTGCCTCCAGCCCTAGGCTCTTCCACTACAGTATGTTGTTTGAAGCTATAAGGTTTCACCTGTTGAAACCATCACCAGATTTGGAGTAGGCACCCCAGTTGACAGGCAGGAAAGACAGGTACTGTGGCCTGCCTGCTTCCTCACTGCCTATTCTCTCATGCTGGGGCAGCATCTGGGTGAGCTGGGGATGGCCACAATGAGAATTCCCCTTTCCTAAGCCCAGCTGAAGCCTTGTTTTAGTTAAAACTTTTTTACATATAAGAGAAACCCCAATAGGCTAGCATCGACAAAGGGTCACTTGACTCTGAGGATATGGGGATGTCTCAAGAATTCCAAAGGGAGGACTTCAAGCTGGCCTGAAAGGACCTAGAAAAGGAAAGCTGTCAGCCACTGAGGCCACTCCTCTCCTAGGCTGCCTCTGTCTTGTCTCTGTGGCTGAGCACTTGGAAGAAGAGAATGGTCCACACTTTCTGAGCTTTCTTGTGCTCAGGTCAAGACAGACCTCATACTTCTTATTTCCAAGTGAGCTCCCTGTACAGCCAGCTAAGACAGAGGGTCAGGGCTCTGTAGAACAAACACAGCCTCAGGGACCAGCATAGGGCCACCTAGCAGAGGCGGTCCTGGGAAGACACCTCAAAAGGTGGCTCCTACAGGGCTCAGCTGAACTTCAAGTCAAGGAATCCTTGTCTCCTCTCCCTCCTCTGCTGCTGCCCAAGTGCAGGTGCTGGACATCAACCAGGCCGATGCAGGGACTCTGCCCCTGGACTCCTCCCAGAAGGTGCGGGAGGCCCTGACCTGCGAGCTGAGCAGGGCTGAGTTTGCCGAGTCCCTGGGCCTCAAGCCCCAGGACATGTTTGTGGAGTCCATGTTCTCTCTGGCTGACAAGGATGGTAATGGCTACCTGTCCTTCCGGGAGTTCCTGGACATCCTGGTGGTCTTCATGAAAGGTGAGAGAGGAGGGAATGATAGGAGAGGCTGGACAGGGGCTGGATTTGTTGGAGGTGGGGAAGCCCTGGGCCAGGTCTCCAGCCATGGCAGATGCCCAGGAGTGACCAAGCAGGGGTCAGGAAGCAGAATGACCCTTGCTGTGTCCAGCAGTTGGTCATCACACTGGCGTGAGGCCCCTTCTGGCCAGCCTGGGGGTTCAGGGGACTCTCCTTATGAAGTCCTCCCTCTCCCAGGCTCTCCTGAGGAAAAGTCTCGCCTTATGTTCCGTATGTACGACTTTGATGGGAATGGCCTCATTTCCAAGGATGAGTTCATCAGGATGCTGAGGTTGGTTTTCTGGAACAGCCAAGAGAATGGGCCAGGGCAGAGGTGGGACCTGAAGAAGAGAGCAGAAGGGCCAAGGAAGGTGGAGGCCTCCTTACCCATGTAACCAGAGGCTGTTCCAACTAGCAGGGGGCTTGGGTTTCCACCAGTCGGGGCCCTTCCACATGGGCTGCGAGGGCTTGGTGCGATGGAGTCAGTGTGCCCTGTGTCTGGGCCCCAGGCCCCATTCAGGGCCTGATGGTTCCGCTCCCCTAACCCCAGGTCCTTCATTGAGATCTCCAACAACTGCCTGTCCAAGGCCCAGCTGGCCGAGGTGGTGGAGTCCATGTTCCAGGAGTCAGGCTTCCAGGACAAGGAGGAGCTGACATGGGAGGATTTTCACTTCATGCTGCGGGACCATGACAGCGAGCTCCGCTTCACACAGCTCTGTGTCAAAGGTGTGGCAGCCTGGTAGGCAGCACTGACTCACCGGTTAGGCATCGTAGACACAATGCCACATACTTTTAGGAGTCCACAGAAATGTTTTAATTTCTCTTAAAATCAGAAGGAAAAAATGAATGTAGTAACATAAATATATAATACTGTATACAGCCTGGATTGTAGTTTTCTTTATATCATCATAATTATACAAAATAATTAAAAAAAATTTTTTTTTTATTTTTATAGAGGAAAGGGCCCAAAAAGGTTTTAAAAGTGCCTAGGGCCCACGGAAGTCATAAGCTCTGCTGCTATGGTTGGTAGGGCTGGGATAGGGTAGGGAATAGTGGTTGGAACTCTGCTTCCCCTGGCTCCCTGCCAAAGCCTTTTGTGCCTGGTGCTCAGGGCAGAGGGAGACTGTCTCCCTGTTACAGCCCTACCCAGGCCATACTCCTTTCAGCTGGGGTGTCTGGTTGTGGGGGTGAGGTGCTGTCTCTTGGGGTTCTTTTGCCACTATTTCCCCTGGCTGAGTGCTCAGTAAATGTTTGCTGAGTAAATGAAGACCCAGTTCTGTTGTCCTTCCCCCTACTTCCTGCCCCACCAGTGTCTGATTCAATTGGAGGCAGCTAGAGTTAAGAGTGAGGAAGGGGCAAGAAGCAGGCAGGAGTGTCTGTCTACAGTGTGCTCTGAGTTGTTATGGCATCTTCTCATCGTGGCACTCTCACTGGGGCATGCTAAGACCAAACCCAGATCCTCCCAGGATTACGAGAAGGAGCAGGCTGAGCAGCCTCCATAGGGAAGAGGGGCAAGTTAGACAAGACACAGATAAGCCTCTGGTCAGGGCTTCCCCCTGGGGAAGGCTGGAAGAGAAGGAACCCAGCACTCCTGATTCTGCAGCTTTTTACCTTTCCCGGGCAGCCAGAGCAGCAGGCACCTGGGCCTGAGGGCAGGGGCAAGGAAGGTAAATGGAAGGGAGCCCACACCACAGAGTCCCAGGGACATCCAGCACCTGGGGTGGAGGGTAAGACCAGGGTTGGGGATTGAGAAGTATTAGCACTATTATATTATTTTCATTGTCTTGTACTTTGTTGTTGACTCCAGTTTTTTTTTTTTAAGATTTTAAAATTAAAGAAAAGGAACAAAGAGCCAAGTGCAAATAACTCATGCCTGTAGTCTCAGCACTTTTGGGGGGGCCAAAGCAGGAGGATCACTTGAGGTCAGGAGTTTGAGACCAGCCTGGCCAACATGGTGAAACTCCATCTCTATAAAAAATACAACAATTACCCAGGTGTGGTGGTGCATGCCTGTAGTCCCAGCTACTCCAAAAGCTGAGGCACAAGAATCGCTTGAACCAGGAGGAGGAGATTGCAGTGAGCCAAGACTGTGCCACTGCACTCCAGCCTGGAAAACAGAGTGAGACTCTGTCTCAAAAAAAAAGAGATGTTCCTTGACTTTTCACCCAGATATGCTATTTGTTACCATTTTGCCACATTTGCTGTTTGTGGAACATTTGTGAGTACAGGCATTAATGCTTTTTAAAAAACATTCTGATTTAACTCTAATTTACTCCAGCTTGCCTTCTTTTGGCCTCCGCTATAGACCAGGGTCATCTTCAGGCTTGGTTCAGGCACTTGGAAGAAACCCAGAGATTCCCAGGCCTCCTGTGAGAACTTGGCTTTGCAGCTTAGTCCTGTCCTGCCTGCAGTGCTCAACCCAGACAGGAACAATGGGGTGCTCCTGGGAGAATTTTTCTCCTGAATATTTTATTATGAACATTTTTTTTTTTTTTGAGACAGAGTTTCACTGTTGTTACCCAGGCTGGAGTGCAATGGTGCGATCTCGGCTCACCGCAACCTCTGCCTCCTGGGTTCAGGCAATTCTCCTGTCTCAGCCTCCTGAGTAGCTGGGATTACAGGCATGTGCCACCATGCCCAGCTAATTTTTTGTATTTTTAGTGGAGACGGGTTATGCTATTTGTTACCATTTTGCCACATTTGCTGTGGCACATTTGCCACATTTCACCATGTTGACCAGGATGGTCTCGATCTCTTGACCTCGTGATCTACCCGCCTGGGCCTCCCAAAGTGCTGGGATTACAGGCTTGAGCCACCGCACCCGGCCTATTATGAACATTTTCTAACATAGAAAAGTAGAAAGAACTGTAGTATGATCTCCCATATACCTACCACCTAGATTCTACATTTAACTCTTGGAGGTTTTTAAGCTGGAGGATCTTAAGCTGAATTTTTATGGCAGAGCAGGCTCAGCAGGCAGGTTATATATAGTTCCTGAACTCTACCCCATAGTCCCAGAAGTGGGACTGAGGATGGACACACTTTAGGGAAGCCTGCCTGGCCAACTTTCTTTCAGGCCTTCTCCCTGCCCACCTATGGCTGGGTCCCTGCCTCCCTCGAAGGCAGGGCCTCCATTGGTCTGGGACTGTCCACTGTGTCTGCACATGGGATGGCAGGAGTGCTGTGCATCTCAGCCAGGCCCTCCTGGGCTCTGGACCCTGAGCTGCTCCCTAGCCTGGCTCTGCTTTGCAGGGGTGGATGTGCCTGAAGTCATCAAGGACCTCTGCCGGCGAGCCTCCTACATCAGCCAGGAAAAGATCTGGTGAGCCCCCATCTGGGATGTTGGAGGGAGGAAATGTTACCATTTCTCTCCAACATTTCCTCCCTCCAACATCCCTCTCCCCTGAATGGCTGGGATCAGGGCTACCACTAGCCCATGTAGCACCTTCAAACAAATTAGAAAAAGGCACCCCTTTCTTTAGGCAGACACAGCCCTGTGCCAGGGCAAGCAGAAAGCCTGTTGGATTTCCCCTCTCACTTACAGCCTGGCCCCAATGCCCTTGTGAAGGGTAAAGGCTTATGCAGCAACCTTAGTAAGGACCCCCAAGATCTGACTCACTGTCTGTAGGTGTCCGTGGGAATCCTGCTGTCCCCTTCTGACAGCTCTGATCCTTCTAAGCAGAATGGGTGTGGAGGCAGACCAGGGCAGCAGAGGAACAAGTGGCTGAGATGGCTAGCATCCTATCTCTTACCATTCTTGTCTTAGTCCCTCTCCCAGAGTGAGTGCCCGCTGTTCCCGCAGCGGTGTTGAGACTGAGTTGACACCTCAGAGGCTGCAGTGCCCCATGGACACGGACCCTCCCCAGGAGATTCGGCGGAGGTTTGGCAAGAAGTATGCCTGCTCTTCCCCTTAAGCCCAGGCAGTTCACCCATTCCTTCAGTTTACACACATCCTTTCCTTGTTGCCAGGCACTGTGCTAAACATTGTGGGTACAGGCAGGTGAACAGTCCTTGTCCAAAAACATCACAATCTAAGGAGATGGTCTGGTACACTGATCATTTCAATGTCAACTGATGACTATTCTAATAGTGGTAAGAGCGAAGGGCTTTGGAACTCAAGGAAGCACTCACCTCTGCCAGGGAGGTCAGAGATGCCTTCATGGAAGAGGTGTCCTTTGAGTCTCTAGTAAAGGCTGTGAGTGCTGGGTGGGGGTTGGGAGCTACAGACTGAGTGTGAATGAACCTGGGTGGATGGAGTGTATCCCCTGGGAAGAAATGACCATTCCGGGCCATTCCTCCACTGCCAGCTTGCTTATGGAGTGCAATATAGCCTGATATAGTGAAGTCTCAACCTACTTCCACAAGAGTCACGCAGTCCCTTTTTTGGAAGCGGTGGGCTTCCCTCCTTCTGGGCGGCTCCCCTCCGGGAAGTGGGGCCCCATTAACGTTGGATCTGATGGGGGGCCAAGGGCTAAGGCTTCCTCTCTCCCAGGGTAACGTCATTCCAGCCCTTGCTGTTCACTGAGGCACATCGAGAGAAGTTCCAACGCAGCCGTCTCCACCAGACCGTGCAGCAGTTCAAGCGCTTCATTGAGAACTACCGGCGCCACATCGGCTGCGTGGCCGTGTTCTACACCATCGCTGGGGGACTTTTCCTGGAGAGGGCCTACTGTGAGTGACTTTACATACCACAAGCCCTGTCCCTAGGCTTGCAATGAGTGATCGCCCTGGGGGTGAGGCCTACTGTGAGTGACAGACAGCACCAGGGCGGGGCCTGCGATAACTGCCAGCCCTGGGTCAGGTGACTGCAACCTGCTGAATGGAGCCTGTCTGAGTTAAGACTGTGAGGGGGAGGCCTGTTGTGAGTGGCAGCCGGCCAGCGCCTGCAGCTGATGACCTCCCTAACCAGCTCTCTCTCCTCTGCACTGCCCCTCCCTTGCCTGCCTGGGCCCCCTGTGCAGACTACGCCTTTGCCGCACACCACATGGGCATCACGGACACCACTCGCGTGGGCATCATCCTGTCACGGGGCACAGCGGCCAGCATCTCCTTCATGTTCTCCTATATCCTGCTCACCATGTGCCGCAACCTCATCACCTTCCTGCGAGAAACCTTCCTCAACCGCTATGTGCCCTTCGACGCCGCTGTTGACTTCCATCGCCTCATTGCCTCCACCGCCATCGTCCTCACAGGCAGGGCCTGGGTGTCCTTGGGAGGATCTCCAGGGCCTTCCACCCTGCTTCCCTTCCACCCTGGCTTCCCCTCCTCTGAGAGACCCCTCTCTGCTGGCATTTACCTTTAATGTCCTTCTCCATCAGGATGGAGTTGGCCTGGGCCAGGGTGTGAAGTAAGCCAGGGAGCCCATCACTAGTCACTGCCAAGTGCCTCTTCCCACACTTTCCAGGGTACCTCACTAGCCTCAGCTGACGAGTTACTAACACCCCAGAATGAGTGTGCATAATGTGTCATTTCTTCCACTTTTTATGTTTTAAAGTATGACTGTGATAGAAAGCACAGGAGTGAACTTCTAATGCTGTAATTTCAGACTCACATGGTTATGTGCATGGATGGTGTGTCTGTGGGGTGTGCAGTAGGGCCAGGAGATTGATTAGAGGTTAAAAGTCCAGGCTAGGTGCAGTGGCTCTTGCCTGTAATCCCAGCACTTTGGGAGGCCAAGGCAGGTAGATCACTCAAGGTCTGGAGTTCGAGACCAGCCTGGCCACTATGGTGAAACCCTGTCTCTACTAAAAATACAAAAATCAGCCCGGTGTACTGACATGAACCTGTAGTCCCAGCTACTCGGGAGGCTGAGGCAGGAGAACTGCTTGAACCTGGGAGGCGGAGGTTGCAGTGAGCCAAGATTGCACCACTGCCCTCCAGCCTGGGCAACAGAGCAAGACTCCATCTAAAAAAAAAAAAAAAAAAGGTCAGAAGCCCCATAGGGTGCTTCTTCAGGCCCCCTACTCTAGCTAGGGTCCTCCACCTTGTGTTCAATAAGTGAGCACCCACCCTGGGCTGCCCCAAGCTCACCACCCTGTCTGCTCTTCCTTAGTTTTACACAGTGTGGGCCATGTGGTGAATGTGTACCTGTTCTCCATCAGCCCCCTCAGCATCCTCTCCTGTCTCTTTCCTGGCCTCTTCCATGATGACGGGTGAGTAGGTGTGTGTGTGTGTGTGTGTGTGTGTGTGTGTGTGAGAGACAGAGAGAGAGAGAGAGCGAGAGAGAGAGAGAGAGAGAGAGAGAGAGATGTGTGTGTGTGTGTGTAGTAGGAGGATTCCTTTTGGGTGGAAAGAAACAAATTCTCTGACTCAGAGGAGAGTGTCACCTTCTAGGTTACAGGATAGACAGTGACCAGCCTGAGACCCCAATGCCAAGTCAGCAGGAGAGACTGGTGTCTGAGTTGGGATGCCTCCCCTGGAGGGTCCCATCTGGAAGTCCCAGAGATCTCTCAGGGTCTCTCCTTGCTGTCCCCACACAGGTCTGAGTTTCCCCAGAAGTATTACTGGTGGTTCTTCCAGACTGTACCAGGTAAGAACCCTCCCTGATCCATGAATTTCTGGACCTGACTGTGAGCTCAAGGCTCTGGGTTCTCTGCACCCTGGAGCAGACCAGGTTCACTCATTCAGCTCTTCTGGTGACCCAGGCTCTGCCCTCTGGCTAGAGGACACTACTGGGTGGCAGGAGACTTAGGCTACTCTGCAATGCAGTCCTCCTCCCAGGAGCTTAGCTGGTTTCCTGCCCCTATTTTGGGCTAGTTCCTCCTCTAGTAGGGGTAGTAGGAGAAATACCTCCTACTCTGGACTAGTTCCAGTGGAATAGGAGTGGCTACCTCTTCCTCCAACACACACACATACCATAACAATAGCTTGGAGAAACGCTGTGTCCCAGCTGCATGGGGTCAGGCTCTTTGTCAATCCAGACAGAGGCCTCTACCCAGTATGCCTTGAAAAGAATGTTTGGGGGATATTCCTAACTGCTTATAATCACCCATCTTAGAGCTATTAGCTGTGAATCTATTCAAACTCTCTTGAAGCTATTTATAGTTTCAGTCTGTTCCTTCCTTGGGGTAACACAATTTCTATACTGGCTCCTCTCTGTGAAACACAGCATGGCTTTTTTTTTTTTTTTTAATTCTAAAATGATCTGCTTTGAACTTCAGAGGGTGCTTGCTAATTCCTGTACACTGAGATTTAGTGGATAAGGCTGTGTTTATGCTCTCCTCTCCTTTTAGGACTTTACAGGCTTCGGTTAGATCCCTTCTTAACCTTTGCTTTTTTATCCTTCAGGGCTCTAATCTTCTTAACTTATGCCTCTCTCCTCCTTGATCACTTGAGGGACCATTCTCTGTCCTCCCCACCCTGCCCTGGCTCTAGTATTATCCCCCTATATACCCATGGCCTGCATTCTCTGTGAGAGGAGGGGCCTGCCACCAACTCTGGGTTGTACTTGGGGACTCTGGTGATAAGCAGGGAGTATGGTCCTGCCCAGCCACTAACAGTGCCAGTGCTCATGTTGTGTGCTGTGGCAGCCAGTGATGCAGGGACAAGGACCAAACCTTGACTTGATGAGGGCAGGCCTCCATTTCCATTGTCTGGCCCAGAGTGGACACCCTGTGCATCCATTCATTCAGGACACATTTATATAGGGCCCACGGTGTGCCAGGCCCCTGCACTAGGAACTAGGATTCAGTGGCAAACTTAGTCCATTCCTTGTACTTGAAAACCTGTCAGGAAAGTGACACACAAAAACCAAATAATGACATGGGTAAAAAATCGGCTGGGCACAGTGGCTCACACCTATAATCCCAGCACTTTGGGAGGTCAAGGTGGGAGGATCACCTGAGGCCAGGAATTCAAGACCAGCCTGGCCAACATGGTGAAACCCTATTTCAATTAAAAATACAAAAATTGGCTGGGCATGGTGGTGCATGCCTGTAGTCCCAGCTACTCGGGAAGGTGAGACAGGAGAATCACTTTAACCCAGGAGGCGGAGGTTGCAGTGAGCCAAGATATCACCACTGCACTCCAACCTGGGTGACAGAGCGAGACTCTCTGTCTCAAAAAAAAAAAATCATGGTGACAAGGGCTATGAAAAACAAACAAGGTCCGCTGAAATAAAAGGTACTTGTGATCAGTGGTGTGGGGAGAGAGGACCAGAGGAGAATGCTGGGACATTCTTACCCCAACTTGGGCAGTGGAGTGGAGAGGGGACCTTGGAAGCCCCAGAATAGTCCCCTTTGAAGGCACTGTTCCTCCACCGTCCACCCTATGTTCACATTGCAGGCCTCACAGGGGTTGTGCTGCTCCTGGTCCTGGCCATCATGTATGTCTTCGCCTCCCACCACTTCCGCCGCCGCAGCTTCCGGGGCTTCTGGCTGACCCACCACCTCTACATCCTGCTCTACGTCCTGGTGAGGGGTTTTGGTGATGAGCCAGGCCAGGAGGGTATGGGTAGGACATTTCCAGAGAGGGAAGGAGGGTTGAGACATTCATTCTATTTCATGCTATCTGAAGCATCCTCTTCACTTCTCCACATCCCTCTATGAAGGTGTAGATGATAGTACAGGGCTCTCCAGTAGAATGACCCCAATATGCAGCACTTGGAAGGTCAGCTCCCTAGGATAGGTTTTGCAGTAGCAGCCCTGCCAGACTGATCTCCATCCTCAAAGACACCTCTATGTCACTTCTGCCCAGCTAGTCTTTCCCCACTTTGGGTGGCTGCGTTTAGCTCCTGGGTGGACTACTTGCACCCAAAAGAACATCACCCTTTTTGAAGAAAGTTAAATGCCATTTTTGTTCTGATCCTATTTTGGGAGGCATTAGTCATCCCACCCCACTAACTGCCACTTGTACAGCATAAAGCTTGTTCAAAATGTCTTCAGATGGACTGCCAATCAAATGATTTTTTTTTAGATGAAGTCTTGCCTTGTCACCCAGGCTGGAGCACAATGGAGCAATCTCGGTTCACTGCAACCTCTGCCTCCCAGGTAGCTGGGACTATAGGCATGTGCCACCACACCCAGCTAATTTTTTGTATTTTTAGTAGAGACAGGGTTTCACCATGTTAGCCAGAATGGTCTCGATCTCCTGACCTCGTGATCCACCCACCTTGGCCTCCCAAAGTGCTGGGATTACAGGTGTGAGCCACAGTGCCCAGCTGATCAAATGGATTAAGACTCTACCTCCTGCCTCCCTTGGGTTTCTCGTTGGCTGTTTAGCTGGTTAGTTCCTGAGCTGATTCTGTGTCCCTGTGTTGTGGCTCTGCTTGCCTGCCTTCCTCATGAACAGAGACATTTCCCCAAACAGTACTATGAGGGCCTCATTTGGAAGCTAAACCAAGTCCCAAGGCTCCAGCTCTTCCCTGCAGCAGAATGGCACACAGGGCTCTCCTTCGTGCTGAAACAAAGAGACACGACACCCTGGCCTCGATCAGGTTGGCTCCTGCTGTCTGACCTGCCTTCTCTCAGGTGCAGTTCTGACCTCACTGACAGCAGAGTCTGTTTCATCTTGCCTGTGGCTCAGCATTTCACAGTTCTGAAGATGACTACTCAGCCTTGGCTTGATAATGTGCATTTCCTAAGAAATCTCTTTCTTTGGAAGCTGTGACTAATTTACCCTCTCTCTTCCTCTTCCCAATAATAAGTGGAGCCCTAGCATTCTTGGCTACTGCTTCTGGTGGGGGTGGAGATGACATTCTTCTTCCTGGTGATAAAGCAGCTACTTTGAACTAGATAAGAAATCCACAAGAGTGGCCAGGGAGGCTCCCTAAGACCCAGAGCACTTTCTGATTTGTCCTGGGGTATAGGCATCACTAGGATTCTAAGCCACCCTTCTTGCAAGCAGGAAAGTCAGGGGCTCGAAAGCTGCAGCCAGGCACAGTGGCTCACATCCGTAATCCCATCAAGTTGGGACACCAAGATGGGTGGATCACCTAAGGCCAGGAGCTCACAACCAGCCTGGCCAACATGGTGAAACCCCTTCTCAACTGAAAATACAAAAATTAACTTAGGAGGCTGAGGCATAAGAACTGCTTGAACCCAGGAGGTGAAGGTTGCAGTGAGGCGAGATCGTGCCATTACACTCCAGCCTGGGCCACTGATGGAGACCCTCTCTAAAACAAAAAAACAAAAAAAACAAAAAACAAAGAAAGAAAGGTGCATGCCTCTATGCTAGGCTACTCTCATCTGCAGTTCGGGACAGTCTCAGCAGGGCAAAAGCACCCTCTTCGTTCCCACTTCTCCCAGGTGTGACCACTTAACTTCAAGCAGAAAGAGAAATTACAGGTAAAGGACCCTAGCATAGACGAGACCCTGGGGAAGAATGGCCAATCTTCTTATCCAGGCAGAAGAGGGTAGGGCTAACACCTCAGAGGCTGAGCCGGCTGGCTACCCCCACCACCCCATCCCACCAGCCAACAAGGAATCTGAAGCAGCCTTGTGGTTTAAAAGGAAAGCCAGCACAAAATAGGGTGTATAAACAGAGCAGCATGACATCACCCTGCCATTGTACTCAGCCTGTTTGGAGGCTCGGAAAGCCTTGGGGGTGGGTGTAGGCTCCACCATGAAACAGTGAAATTGGGGAAGGAAGAGCCAGTTCAAAGAAGAGCTCAGAGCGGTTTCAGTTAGTCTTGTAGGGAAAGGTTCAAGAATCTAGGAAGACTCAGCTGGGGGAAGGGACTCCTAAATGCAGAACCAGAGTTCAGTTTAAAAGCTATCTGTTGGCCGTGTGGGGTGGCTCACTCCTGTAATCCCAGCACTTTAGGAGGCTGAGGTGGGCGGATCACGAGATCAGGAGATTGAAACCATCCTGGTTAACACGGTGAAATCCCGTCTTTACTAAAAATACAAAAAATTAGCCAAGCATGGTGGCACACACCTGTAGTCCCAGCTACTCAGGAGGCTGAGGCAGCAGAATCATTTGAACCTGGGAGTCGGAGGTTGCAGTGAGCTGAGATCATACCACTGCACTCCAGCCCGGGTGACAAAGTGAGACTCTGCCTCAGAAAAAAAAAATCTGTTAAGGGTCTATTGTGTACTAGCTTTCTGTAGCACCCAGCAGCAGAGAGGGAGACTCTTATCTCTTCCTTAGGAACTTAGGATTTGCTGTGACAAAGTGGCACATGTCTGAAATGATCAAAATGAACACGATATAGGATTAATTACTGAGTGGAGTGTTCCAAACAGGAAGTTATAGGATTTCATTGAAGGGGGTTTCACTTGGGCTAAATTGGCTAGGGAAGACTTTGAGGAGAAGACTGGACTTGGGCCAAGAGCCTGGGAGAGACAAGCTAAGCTTTGACAGGGCAGAGTGGAAACTGAAGAACAATCTGGGTGAAAGGAAGGGCATGAGCACAGGTGCAGAGATGGGAACAGTGATAGGATATTCAGGAGACAGGGGACAGGCCTGGCTGTGGATGGTTATAGGGCATTAGGTTGTGGCAGGACATGCTGCTGGTGATCATGTGGAGGCTGCAGCTGAAACTGAGGGGCTGTGGCTCAGCTGAGAGGCCACGTCACACGGCAGAGCACAGAAAGAGAAAAACAGAGCATGACAAAACCAGGCTTGGGCAACACCCATGACTGGGGGTGGCAGCAGGAATGAAGCCAGTGGAGGAGATGGAAAGCCAGTGGCCCAAAGTGGGAGAAGCAGTAGAACATTGTTGCAGAAGTGGCAAGAGGTTGGTCACTGTGCCTCAGGCTGCCAAGAGTAGGAGCCAATGTGGCCTGAAAGGAGACCTTGAGATCTGGCCATTTGTGGGGCTTCTGGGAAGGTCCTAAGAAAAGGTGGAGGCAGAAGTCAGACTGGGCCAGACTCAGGAGCAAGCAAATGGGAAGAATTTGCTGGTCAAGTAGTGTCTGACCGTGTTAGACGAACTTACTAGGGAAAGGACCAAACTTACTAGGGAAAGGACCAGAGCTGGATGATACCTGTCAGTTATTTCATGGAAAAGGGAAACTAGTTAGGTATTCTTAGCCTGGAAGAAGAGAGGATAAACTGGGGCAAAGCCTTTCCCCAACAGTTATTGAGTGCCTCTGTATGCCAGGCAGAAACTGCTAGGAGCTTATAATAGCAAACAATCCCTACCCCTTCAGTCCAGTGGGAAAAACAACAGTAAAAATGTAAATGAATGAGCAAGCGGAAGTACTGTTGGCCAGATGTGGTGGCTCATGCCTGTAATCCCAGCACTTTGGGAGGCTGAGGTGGGCAGATCATTTGAGGTCAGGAGTTCAAGACCAGCCTGGCCAGCGTGGTGGAACCCATCTTTACTAAAAATACAAAAATTATCCAGGTGTGGTGGCGGGTGCCAGTAATCCCAGCTACTCGGGAGGGTGAGGAAGAATCTCTTGAACCTGGGAGGTGAAGGTTGCAGTGAGCCGAGATCGAACCACTGCACTCCAGCCTGGGTAACACAGCGAGACTCTGTCCCCCAATCCCCAAAAAACAAAAGTACTATTGATGACAATGCATACTCTTTGTTTTTTGTTGTTGTTGTTTGTTTGTTTTACTATCTCCAGTAATGGGTATAAGGAAGACAATGCATACTCTAAGAGGGTCAACAAGCAGATGTAGTAGATTGGACTGAGGGGAGGCCTGAGGAGGTGGTTTCTACTAAGACCTGAAAAATGAGATTGAGCTAGCCATGGGAAGAACCAGAAGGACATTCCAGGCAGGAGATGCAAACGTCCTAAAGCAGAAAGGACTTGCCATGTATGAGGAACAGAGAGGGGAGAAGGGCTAGCAGCTAGAGGTCAGAGTACTTATGAGGCCTTGTAGTGCAATGGGAAGGCCACCAAAGCTTTTAAAGCTGGGGATGAACATGATACAATGAACTTTACAAAGTCACACTGGCTGCCTTGAAGAGAGAGGATTATAGTGAGGCAAGACAAGTGGAAGACCTATTTCCACTGGAAGGCTGCTGCATGAATCCAGGTGACAGGAGACATCGCTTGATCTAGAGTGGTGTCAGGGATCTGGAAAATACTCTCATTCCTCATGGAATGCTATGGAGGATGGAGTTGGGAGTGGTGAGATTTTGCATCCTGGAAGGAGCATGGTTTGTGGTGAGGTGGGGGCTGGATATACCAGTGGGGAAGGATGCAGGGTCTAAGGCCTGAGCTGGCCCCACACTCTGCTGTGGGTGTTGCTAGGTCTGAGTAGAGCTCTTTCCCCCATCCAGCTCATCATCCACGGTAGCTTTGCTCTGATCCAGCTGCCCCGTTTCCACATCTTCTTCCTGGTCCCAGCAATCATCTATGGGGGTGACAAGTTGGTGAGCCTGAGCCGGAAGAAGGTGGAGATCAGCGTGGTGAAGGCGGAGCTGCTGCCCTCAGGTACTAGCCTCGCAGAAGATCAGCTTGGTGGCACTGAGGGAGCTGACGAGGCAGAGGCAGAGTACACAGTCTCCTGGTTGGGCCCAGTGGAGCTTGCAGGGGCTTTGGGTGGTAAGGACAAAGAAGCTGATGGGGGCTGGGTATAGCGGTTCACGCTTGTAATCCCAACACTTTGGGAGGCCGAGGTGAGCAGATCATGAGGTCAAGAGTTGGAGATCATCCTGGCCAACATGGTGAAACCCTGTCTCTACTAAACATACAAAAATTAGCTGGGGGTCATAGCGTGTGTCTGTAGTCCCAACTACTCAGGAGGCTGAGGCAGAACTGCTTGAACCCGGAGGCAGAGGTTGCAGTGAGCTGAGGTCACGCCACTGTACTCTATGCTCCAGCCTAGTGACAAAGTGAGACTCCATCTCAAAAAAAAAAAAAAAAAAAAAAATGCTGGTAGGGAAGAGCTCTTTGCCAGAGGACCTAAGCCTCTCTCATCACAGAGCAGAGAAGCTCAGGTGAGCCCCAGTGCTGCCTGGCCTCCCTCAGGGTGAGCTTCTGATGGGGGAGGCTTCCCTAGTCATATTCCAGAAGCAGAACTGAGGCTGTGGGTAGGGAGCTCTCTGGAGGCCACATTGTTGCTGGGTTCAGGGCAGCAGCCTCCACCCATCATCCCTCCCCAGGAGTGACCTACCTGCGGTTCCAGCGGCCTCAGGGCTTTGAGTACAAGTCGGGGCAGTGGGTGCGGATTGCTTGCCTGTCTCTGGGGACCACTGAGTACCACCCCTTCACACTGACCTCCGCGCCCCATGAGGACACACTCAGCCTGCACATCCGGGCAGCAGGGCCCTGGACCACTCGCCTCAGGGAGATTTACTCAGCCCCGACGGGTGACAGATGTGCCAGATACCCGAAGGTACCAGACCCAGGCCAGATGTGTCACATGCTCCCATATCTCCTTTGAAGGCCTTGGCCTGGCAGCACTAGATTCCCCACTCTGTTCCTTCCCTCCCCGCATCTAGAGACTGGTTGTTCCAGATAATGGCACAAACCCTCCTCTTCCCCTCACTCCATATATGTATCTGCCTTTCCCTCCCTCTCATTTCTGACTTCAGATCTATGGTGGTGGCCAAGCTTAACTCAAACCCATGCCCTTCCCTACAGCTGTATCTTGATGGACCATTTGGAGAGGGCCACCAGGAGTGGCATAAGTTTGAGGTGTCAGTGCTAGTGGGAGGGGGCATTGGGGTCACCCCTTTTGCCTCTATCCTCAAAGACCTGGTCTTCAAGTCATCAGTCAGCTGCCAAGTGTTCTGTAAGAAGGTGAGTACTCCCTCTTCCCACCAACCCGTGGCCCCTTCTTCCTTGTTATTGTACCCATCTGTGCCTTTCTCCCCTGCCTTTGTTCTTGGTTTCCCTGAACTGGGCAGGGGCAAGTTGGTTTGAAACCTGGGGTTAGGTCGTGGATGGGATGGTGTCAGGATATCTCTAGACCCTGAACGACAGAAATGGTTTGCAGATGCCTCCAGGATCCTGCCTGGTTTACAAAAACTCCTTCCCTCAGTTAGGGGTGCTCCACATAGGATTTACTTCTCAGAGTTCCTCTAGGAAAGGTTGGAGGGGGTGAAGAAACCCATTCCTTCTTACAGAGGAGCTCAGCACTTGGAGCCTTATTGCACTGGAAAAGGGAAGGGCACACAGGTGGGGCACAAATGAAACTGGCTCAGATCTCAAGAGGAAGAGGAGGGGGGGCAAGGCAGGGCTGTTGGGCCAGGTTGGCCCCAGGAACACAGCTCAAACCCTGCGGCACTCACACGGGTCCTTTCACCCCAGCCTGGACCTGGTAGCAGGCCCCTGCTCGTCTTTCTGGGCCTGGCAGGTGAGTCAGGGGCCCTGGAATGCAGTGGGCAGAGGCCCAGCCCATGTGCTGTCAGCATTCAGAGGGTGACAGCTCCTCTTCTCTTCTCTGCCTTTTTTTTTTTTTGGTCACAGTGTCACCCTGTTGCCCGGGCTGGAGTGCAGTGGTATGATCTCAGCTCACTGCAACCTCTGCTGCCCAGGTTCAAGCCATTCTCCTGCCTCAGCCTCCCGAGTAACTGGGATTACAGGCACCTGCCACCGCACCTGGCTAATTTTTCTAGTTTTAGTAGAGATGGGGTTTCACCATCTTGGCCAGGCTGGTCTTGAACTCCTGACGTCATGATCCACCTGCCTCCGCCTCCCAAAGTGCTGGGATTACAGGTGTGAGCCACTGCACCCAGCAGCCTTCTGCTGCTTAACTATACAGCCCCATTTTCCCTGCTCAGAAGCTCTCTGCAGGGCAGCTTCCAACCACTGATCTCTTAAAGCCTATCCCCATTTGCCCATGCAGCTGCTGGGTCTCCCTGAGGTTTTTCTGTGAAATGCCCTTCAGGCACTAGGTGCCTGGCAGCCTGAGCAGGAACCACTGGAGGGAACTGTAGGACAGGCTGAGCATGAGAGCTGCTTCCCATCCCACAGACCTTCACCTGGCAATCACCAAGGGACCTTTCCCATCACCCCGGGCTATCTCTCACTTCCACCTCTCCGTGCCCTGGGGCGACTCCATCTCTGGCCTCAGAGTCTGGCCCTGTGGCCCATACACTCCATCTCGCCAGCCTGTCTAGGGAGGGGCACAAGCTGGCTGAGGTCAGAGGAGTTCTATCTGTATGGATACCCCTGGGATCTAGGGCTGAGCTGAGCTGAGTCCTGAGCTCCAGCCATGTCCCCAGATCTACTTCATCTGGGTGACAAGGACCCAGCGTCAGTTTGAGTGGCTGGCTGACATCATCCGAGAGGTGGAGGAGAATGACCACCAGGACCTGGTGTCTGTGCACATCTACATCACCCAGCTGGCTGAGAAGTTCGACCTCAGGACTACCATGCTGGTATGTCAGGATCCCCCAGGAGGGTATGTGGGACACTATCTGAGCTAGAAGTTGACCCTAGCTGTGCCTGGCTGAACTTTGTTCCACCCGTCTCTACCACAGTACATCTGTGAGCGGCACTTCCAAAAGGTTCTGAACCGGAGTCTATTCACGGGCCTGCGCTCCATCACCCACTTTGGCCGCCCCCCCTTTGAGCCCTTCTTCAACTCCCTGCAGGAGGTCCACCCCCAGGTCAGTCTCACCCATATCCAGGTTCTCTTCCTCTTTATCATTTGGGGTCTGAACAAAGCTCCAAACCCTGCCCCATCAAGGAGGAAACTGACTGCTGGTAAGAACCCATCCCCTGGGAGATTGGTGGGGTAATGGAAGGGAAAGGATAGGTGTGCGGGGGGCGAGGGGGGTCACCCTTAGGTGCTAAGGAGGAGGCAGGCAATAGGGACTTGCCATCTCTGAAGCCATGACGAAGAGCTCAGTCATTGAGCTAGTCCTCGCCATAAACTCAGGGCTACCCTCACCATTAATACTGAGTCAGCCCTCAGCATAGACACTGAGGTAACTAACCTTTACCACTAGCATTGGACTAGTCACTACTCACAAATACTGGGCTAGCCCTCCATGAGATGCTGAGCTTTTCCTCAACTTGAACACTGATTAACCCAACCCCTATTAGAAATGTTGATTTAGCACTTAGCAAAATTCTACTAGACTTATACTGAGCCAGCCCTCACCATGCATGGTACAAAGCAAACCATTGGGAGCACTGCTGGCTTTTTTTTTTAAGAAAGGGTGTTGCTCTGTCACACAGGCTGGAGTGTGGTGGTGCAATCCCAGTTTACTGTAACCTCCAACTCCTGGGTGCAAGCAATCCTCCCACCTCAGCCTCCCAAGTAGCTGGGACTGCCACTAGTGCACCATTATGACCAGCTAATTAAAAAAAAAAATGTAGAGACAGGGATCTCACTATGTTGCCCAGGTTGGTCTTGAACTAGGGAGCTACCCCTTCCTGTGAACTCTGAGTTATCCCTATTTTTGAACACTGAGTTAGCTCTGCCTCTAAGCAACGAGCTAGCCTTTACTTATTCCTCCTGCAACAGGTCCGGAAGATCGGAGTGTTTAGCTGTGGCCCCCCTGGCATGACCAAGAATGTGGAAAAGGCCTGTCAGCTCATAAACAGGCAGGACCGGACTCACTTCTCCCACCATTATGAGAACTTCTAGGCCCCCTGCCCAGGGGCTCTGCCTACCGCCCAGTTGAGCCTCTGCCCAAGAGGTTTGGGCCCACACCTCCTTTCTGTTCTTCCTATTTCTGGCTGCCTCAGCCTTCTCTCATCTTATCTCTCAACCTTGTTCCAGGTGGCCACAGTCAGTCACCACGTGTGGGCTCAGGGATCCCAGGATGTGTCTTACCCTGCAGAAATGGGGGGCAGTATCTAGGAACTAGAGAGAAGTAGGGGAGCTACTTGGTTTGGGGCAAACTGAAACCTCTTCTTCGACTTCAAAACAAAACAAACAAAAACAACACACCAAAAAAAACCTCAAAAGACAAGCTGACCTGACAAGTACTGTGTGTGCCCCTGTCTGTATGTGTGTTGGGGTGGTGAGTGTAAGGATGAAGTGGGAGCACAGATGCTGGCATCTTAGAACCTCCCTACTCCCAGACCTCCTCTTCTGGGCTCCCCACTGTCAGAAGGGCTGGCAAATGCCTTGGAGGAGGTAGAGGCTGGACCCATGGCAAGCCATTTACAGAAACCCACTTAGCACCCCGGTCTAACACTACAACTGATTTCACCCAAGGTTTTAAGCACGTACTTTCATCAGACCCTGGCCCAATACCCATCTATGCAATGCTCCTCAGCCCCCTTCTCCCTGCTCCAGTAGTTTCCCTTACAAAGAAATCACTTTTCTGCCTTCAGGGTTTCTTTATTCTGCCTTAGGACTGGTTGGGGCACGGGGAGAGGAAGCCACTCACCCAGCTAGCTCACCAGGCTGGCCCAGACATCTCTCAAGCTGGCCAGTGTCCTGAGCAAAGAAGCTGGCCCAAGGCAAAGTGCCCCAGCTAGAGATCCCTGCCATGGCGCAGGGGTGGCCTCCCTGACAGAGGACCTGTGAGCAGCTAGCGTGAGGCCTGGTGAGCCTGCTTAGGAGGGGCAGAGAGAGAGGGTGTGGAAGTTTCTGGAGGAGGTAGGCTGGTGAAGAGAACACAGGAGGGGTGGACTCAGCTGAAGCCTATAGGGAGCCAGAGCCGCCTGGCTTGTCCCAGGACCGTAGTCACTCCCAGCCCTTCTCTGAGAAATGGGAAAGTTGGACCCCTGTACCTCCATAGCTCTTCCAGGTAGCGAGATGACGGCAAGGAGACAGATGAACACATCACCTAACCTTTCTGGGCCCGTTTTCTCATCTGCAAAATGGCTGGATGCTCTCCAAGTAGACTTACAGACAGGGCAACCCTCTGAGGGAATTTCTAAGAGTGCCCAATTTTAAGTGATCCCTCCTATTGTCCCCACAAAACATCTACATACCACATATCCTCAATTTCGAGAAAATAGCCACTGGTTTAGAAACTCTCAAGTACCGTGATTTGCAGCACGCTTTGGAGGTTGCACGCTTAGGTTCTGGAAGAGGTCCTCAGACGGCCCTTCGGCGCAGCCATCTGCGAAGATGCCTGTCTAGCACGTCGAGGGGTCCTGACCCGCCGGCCTACGGGGTCGCGGCGGGCCTGAGGCGGCCTAGTGAGCCTCCCGGGGCCGGCCCACAGGCCTGGGCGGGTTCCAGTGGTGCGCGGTCTGGTGGTTAGGGGCTCTCAGGCCGCCCCGCCCGCGGGTCTGCCCGAGATGGACCCATACTTCAGGGCGCGAGGGAGGCGCGGTAGCCCCTCAGTTCTTAGGCCGAGGAGACAAGCAGTGCTCCTAGGGCCCGCCCTGCCCGCCTTCCCGCCTCCGCCGGCGCGCGGCTTCCGCGTGGCAATGCAGACCCGCTTCCCCCACTGGCGCGCTGCCTCTTTGTCTTTCCGCGCCTCCCCTCCTCCCAGACAAATGGCTGTTGGCAGGAAATTGGACGCGCTCCGGGGTAGACGCGCGCCGCGGGGTGGGGGCGTCGCGCGGCCCGCGGGCCTCGGTTGCTTCCAGCCGCGGCGGGGGCGGCGGGGATGTTTAGACATCTTGGCAAAGAAAGGAACTTGATGCTTCGAAAGTGCTTTTCACAGCCGGGCTGTGTCTGCTCCAGAGCTGATTTATAAGCAGAATCTGAGCTCGCTTCTCGCTCCCTCCCCGGTCAGCCCGGGGACGGCGCCGGAGGCGCGGGCGCGGTTGTGCCCGGCAGGATCGGGTTTATTTATTGCCTCTGGCCCGGAGCCGGGGCGGCCTGGGGACTGCACAGTTCCCACTGCCCGAGCCCCTCCCCTCAACCCCACCCCCCAAAGCCGGCTGCTTCCCAGGGGCCTACCTTCCCCAAACCTTGTACCAGACTCTGGGCCGAGCCCTCCAGCGGTGTGGGGTGGAAGGCAGGGACGGAGGCAGAGATGGTCAGACGCCCCATGGGGCCGAATTCCGCTCCACCTCGCACAGACCCAGTGGGGAAGGGTGGTGGTGGTGGTGGTGGTGGAGGTCGCCACCTCTGCCCTATGGTCAGAAAGGAGCCAGAGCTGCCAATATGAAACTCCCTAGGACCCCAGCAGCTCTGGAACCCCGTTCCTCCTGGGGCTATCCTTTCTCTCCAGAGTTTCTCTATCCCCACCTCCAGACAACCCCTTACTCCAAGAAGCCCTTTCCCTTTAGAATAAATTAAGGAATCTTTCAGCTTCTACTAGATCCCAAGAGAAGAAAGATTTCAGAGATCATGTCCCTGGGAAGAGCCATGGCTCTCAGCCAGGTGATGGGCACAGGGCTGGGTGCAGGTCTATCACAGTGCCCTGGCTTCACATCTAAAGAGTCCGGATGGCCACAGGGTAGAGCAGAGACATGTGTTCGGCCCCCTTAATGGGTAGCTTGCGGCTGGCATAGTGGTGCACAATTTCAGGGACGCTGCTGAAGGGCGGGCTGTTTTGGCCCAGCACATATTTGTGTTCCTTGGTCCGGGACAGCTTCATGTGCATGAAGCCCTGGCTGCTCCTGGGAAAGAGGAAAGGAGACCTTGGTGAGTGGGGGCTCTTCTCAGTCCCCCATCCAGCCACCCAGTGACCCTCCCCAACCCTACAGCAAATGTGGTGGTTCCGAAGCCAGCTGAGAATTGAGAGATTAAGGAAGGTGGAGGTGAATCCAGAAAGCAGGGGTGGTGGTAGTGTGAGTAGGTAGCATTGGGCATTGGCTTTGTGGTAAGAGCACAAGATGTGCCAAGAATGTGTGTATACTGAGTATTCAGGGTGTGTGCAGGTGGAAACTGAGTGACCAGCACCACCCCCAACCCCTGCTGGCCAACCCTGGGGTCCAGGCACCCCAGCCCTCCAGCCTCTGTGGCCAGGGCCAGTTTAACTTCACCCTTCGTGAGCTGTAGGGTAGGACACCTGTGAGGGGCTCCTGATGACTCCTGTGGAACAAAATATGCCCCTGGCAGGAGGGTGGGTAGACAGATATGACAACCAAGCTAGCCTTGGTTGGGGTTCTCCCTTCTAAAGACTAGGAGGAAGGGGAAGCTGGTCTGGAAGTCCCCCCAAAATCTGGGAGTGCTTGGCTGCCTCCTCTTGGGGATATCCCTTCACTCTCTTGCTCTCTGGGTCTTGGACCAAGCCCCAGTTCATCTATCAGGCCCTTCAGCCTACAATGACTTCATACCCTTGCTCAGAGGGGACATGCTCCTGCTTCTCCCTACCAGGCCCAATAAATCAGCATTAGTGCCTGGCCTTGCCCTCAAGACAAGGACCCCACTACTCAGAGCTCTGGCTAACTCCTAAATATCCAGGCACCCTTGGCCCATGAGAAGGAATGGGGGAGAGACCTCTAGCAAGAACATTTAGGTCTAAACTACCATAGGCTTGGTCAGTCAGGCCTCAGGTCTGAAGCCTAAGTGTTGTATACTGCTGATCAGAGCCTACTTGGGGACAAGGATAGGGCTTAGAGGTTAGTGTGAAAAGTAGAACCAGTGAGGGGGCCGCCTCCATCCTGAGGCCCACCTCCCAGAGAGGTGAGGCTGGCAATCCTCAGCACTCGCCTACCCTGGCCTGGATACAAAGGCTCTGCCCCGACCCATTTCACCAGGCCCACAACTGAGAAATCAGAGTGGGGAGGCTGAAGAGAGGTGAGATGGGAGGAAAAAACAGGCCCCCAATTCCATCCCTCTGCCTCCCCTAGCAGACTGCTGGGAAAAGGCCTGGGGCCCCAGGGCTGGGTGTGTCAGGGTGGGGCGTCAGGGGTGGGGGTGGTGGGGGGGGCATCTGTAGGTCTGAGATAACTGGGGCTGATGGTGACAACACAGGTCCTTGAGGAAAGGAGCCAAGGGCCTGAGGCAAACAGTCCCTGTGGGTGGTAGAGAAGGGAGGCAGCATCCCTGTCAGGCCCAAGGCTGTGGGCAGCAGCATGGGCCCTGCTTTCCTTCACCTCTTCTCAGTTGGGGCTGACCCCTTCCCCTTAGTCCACCTGGGGAATCGTCTCTCCTAAAAGCTGCACATTGGATCTTCCTGAAGGACAGATCTGGCTAAGAAGGACAAGTGGCCAGAGAGCTCAGCCTCCATCTGGATAATCAACCTCTTGGGGAAGGGATGGCTGTGCTTTCCCACCTCCTGGGACAAAGTCCCAAGGGTCCATCAGGACACAGCAAAGCCCATGCCAGACCCTCAGGGGACTGGGGTTAGGATCACCTGGGCTGCAGGACCCGGCAGGCAAGGCTTTTGGAGGAAGTTGTTTAATTACCAGTGAAAGCCCTTCCATTACAGAGAGAAGAGAAACAGTAATTGTATTTCAGAGAAGCTATTTATATGCAAACGAGGCTCTGGCAGACAGATGCGGAGCCAGGACAGCCAGGGGCAGGAGCAGGTCTCCAGGCCTCCGAGCCTGCCTTGCCATTTTACCTCCCAGGCTAAGGCAGGCCTGCAGGGCTCCACTCTGGAAGCCAGACCCCTGGCATCTCCCCTTACCTTGGCCAGTACTAAACAATATGGCACTGGTGGAGCCCTGGAATACCGTGGTTTGTGGAGTCAGACAGAGCTGGGTTCAAATCCTGTTTTGGGTACTTTATTACCTGGTGGCCTTGGGCAAGTAACAAACCTCTTTGAATTTATTTTCTGTCTATAAAAAGGAGATCTATCTTGCAGGGGAATAGTTGCTTTAGAAATGGTATATAGGCTACTTGGTATGCTCCATGAACTTTAACTATAATTTTTAAAGCAATACACATTTCTGAGGTTATGTAAATCAAATTTTTGACGCAAACTTTTCTGGAAAATGCTCCTTTGATTTTGTAATTCAAAGACTCCTAGGGTAGGACAGCTGGAAAAAAGCAGTATCTACCAACTCATTTGGCAAAGGTAGAAACCAAGGCTTGGAGATATTAAGTGATTTCCCTAGGATCACATAGCTAGTTTATCAAATCCAAGAATAGAACTCAGGTTACCTGACTATAGTCTGGTACT